TGAGTCGTTCCCTCTCCTGACCAGAATTCATTGCCTTGGACTGGCAGCCCTGCATGTTATGAACCATGAATCTTATGCAAAATTATTACCTGCACCAGCTGCCCTTCCAATTTCAGTGGGGATGGTAAACAAATATGTGAAAAAAATGGCATGTGCAGCTAAATGAAGAGGTGGTATCTACAGCAGAATCAGGTGTAAAATGTGCATTACTGAAAAACCCACAGTGATAGGCACAGTGAAGGCTTGTTTTTGTTTCTCTAGATTTTGCAATGAGAATGTGAGTTTGCAGTTTTTGCATTGCAGGGCTCTTCTCGCTCCCCTGCCCTGCCCCTGCTACTTTCTCTTACTCCACACTCACACTTCATCCCCCTCCATTCCCGCACATCCCCACACAAAGCCACAATGAGCTTGAGCAATCACCTCGAGTGCTATTCTTCCATTTTTCATTTAACATAAGGGGTTTCCTGGAAACTGTGCTGAAGGGAGAGGATTACTGGAAACCGGAAACCTCGCCTAGGCAATGTTAGTGACTTCCAAGCAGGACACATGCCAACTGAATAGTGTTAACACAAAGCTAAAATCAGCACAGAAGAATATGCATTTGATCTACAGATGCAGAAAACATCAAAAGAATGAAAGTGGTTAAAAAACAATAGTTGGTGACTGCTAACATCTGTCATCTCAGAACTATAATAGGAAGGATAGCCAGATACAACACAATTCTCAGCTCCACTTCTACAGCCATGGGAGTGTAGTGAATTCTATCCACAACTCACACCCTAGCGGATGGAAATAATAATAATGTCATAAAACAGTATAATTTCCATTTTCTTTGGAGTCTATGACCTACCTAAACCAAAAAGGCCCGTGTCTGCCCACATTTTACAGTACAGAACTAGCTGTTTTTAGGTAGTGAATGATCGTTCTGGAACACTGAAAAGGATAATCTCTTAGAAATCTCTGGTGGCCATTGTATGAATGAAATGAGAATCGGCTAAGCATGGCAATTGTGATTGATCTTGAATTGTTTTGTAGACAGATAAAAGAGGATATTGGAAAACATGTAACAAATAGGAAAATTAGCAGGGGCTTAGCATGGGGTGGTGAACAGAAATCACGTGTAATCTGGAAGTGTATAAAAAAACATTGCTTTCGATGTGGTTCTTTGCAGCCTCCTCCTTATTTTTGAGACTGCTTTATATGTATTGTGCAGGTTGAGCCTGCGTGCCTTATGCCTCTGGGATCATCTGCTTTCCCCAGGGAAAATCACTTTTTAGCACTCAGTCGGAGCACAGCAATTTTCCCCCCAGAGTAACATTTGCTCCCATTTAGCACCAAAGTTCGGGTTTCCCCCAGGAAAGGAGGAGGTCAGGGGAAACTGCATGGACCCAGACCTATGCTTTCTAGGCACAGGACAAGGGGAAGTGTGGACGAGTTTTATGGCCAGTGGCGGACCATGATGGGATCTCACATTTCATCAGTGCTCTGTGTGATGCCAAAATTTGGTGCCCCTCTGTCTCTTGCCTTCCAGTCTACCTCATAGTTGCGGGGCCTCTGTGGCGCCTCCGAGGCGCTGCACCCAGGGAAACCTAACCGGTTGCGCCTCCCTAAATCTGCCTCTGCTCCAGCTCTGTGATGCTCTGAAGTGTAGGAGGTCTGAGTTGTGTCTTCCCTCTTCCAGCTCTGTTTGTTTGGCTCAAACCTAATTTTCCCAGTGTGCACTTGAATCACTCCCACAAAATACCGACAGTCCTATGACGCCTGAAGATAAACTGCTCTAAATCATAAGTTATCTATGTGAATGTGACTCCAGTGCAACAGTGCCAAATAAAATCAGCAACCCATTTTGTGCAAAGAAATCCTGCCTTTGCTGAGCTGCAAAGGTGAACCTAGAAACCTTACAGGCAGTGTATTCATTCATCAGCAAATAACCAATTTTCTCCTCATTGCTTAAAAGGAAACTATCTAGGGAATTCCTTTGAGAAATCTACCCCTAGGAGAATTATACAAGAAAATACATAATGAAGTGGACAATATTTTCCACCTCTCCCTGGCCACAGATACACAAACAATAATTCACAGGCATTCTGACAGCTCTCCTGTCCAGATAGGTGTAGTACCATAGCCCATCATCCCAGCCTGTGTAGCCAATGGACAGTAAAGATGGGAGTTGTAGTCTAGCCTTATGAGAAGACCCACCCCTGATCGTTAGCATCCTAAGAGGCAGTCCTTGCATTGCACATCCTGAGCGAATAGGCGTGAGGCACTGAGGATTACAGAGATGTCTATAGGGTGAATTCTACTGCTTGCCAGCAACTGTGCAACTGTTCAAAAAACAGATTGAACAAAAAGTGATGAACTCAGGGACCTTCATTGTCCTTAATTGAACTTAATTGCCAGCTCCAGCAATCCCAGACAGCAGTTGTTGAGCAAGAAGAAAAGCTTTTATAGCCCATGTTGCATCACACAGGGATCATGATTATCCATACTTTGCATTAATTAATTAATTCGCTGGTTACATGTAAACACATATATAGAATCCTGACAGGCATTTTGAATATGTTTTGAGGGGGAGTGATTTGGAGAAAGATGGTGGCATACTCTCCAACATTTCTCTGATGAAAATAGGGACGTCCCATTCCATAATGGTAATTTTACTATTTATACCCCACACATCTTACTGGGTTGCCCCAGCCACTCTGGGCAGCTTCCAACTTATATAAAAACAAAATAAAACATTAAAAAACTGACAGATTAATATTTTTACTTTGTTTTTGTTTTTTACATTATACTTTAGACTCCCCTTATCTTCTCTATGAGATGAGGAAGGGATTGTTTTGTTCTATTAAAATTGTGTTAATAACGTCTGCCAGGAATGATGCCTCAGGAAGACTTTGGGCATCACATGGCAGATGTGCTGTCCCAAGCCCACATTCCCAGCTTGTTCGCACTCCTGTCTCAGGGATGTCTACACTGGCTTGGTCGCACCCACAGAATGGAAAATGGCAGGATTCACAAGGATGTACTCTGCATGGAGCTGGTTTCAGGCACCAGGTCTGTTGGCAGATCAATTTTGTATATCAAAGGTGTCTGCAAACATGACACGAAGGCTGGCAACATGAACCCCATGTGGGAATCCCTTGCAGACAACTGCAGCACCTGGAGTCAATCAGGTCTTGTATCCACTGCAATGACCAGAGGAGGAAAGACAGCTGGGAGGAGTGCAGACAGAAAAAATACCATGGTATACATGCATCAGCTCAGCTGGACACCTTCATCTGCCCCAGCTGTAACAAAACATGTCTCTCCTGTATTGGTCTCTACAGCCACAACAGGCACTATAACTCTCGGATAGTTTGACTTTACTCTTGAAGGCCTCCTGAGACAGATAGATAACAGTCAGTTCATAACATCTGGAAGGTACCACATTGGCTACTCCAGTTTAATGACTGGCAAAACATCCATATAATTTTGTTAGCCCTTATATATTCAGATTATGTTGAGTGTGGCAGAGAGATATCAATTTTATTTTGATATCTCTTTTATACTCAGCCCATGTTAAAAAGAGCAATTATAAACTAACATTTTTCCTCTAAATTTTTAAATTCAAATACAGATTGAAACAATATTTAATGTACTAGTTTCAGCAAGAATATTGGGTGCACAAGGTTGGAGATGAAAGATAATTGTTTCAAAGTACTGATTAATGAATACAAGTTGGCATACAAGTTGATTTATTGAAACTAACAACTTGCCTGAGGTTTAGAATGGTAAATTTAAGATGGTTCCTCAATTTCTTGTACAATGTTGTGGGTTTAAGGAATGTTTAGCAGTTACACAAGTGTTCTCTGCTCCATGATCTGAAGAAAAACAGGAAATATATATATATATATATATATATATATATATATATATATATATATTTCATTTGTTTGAGTGCAGTTGCCGTATTTGATCTTGTTGACTTTGGAGGTGGTTATTTTTCAACATGTATACAGTGGTACCTCGGGTTAAGTACTTAATTCGTTCTGGAGGTCTGTACTGAAACTGTTCTTAACCTGAAGCACCACTTTAGCTAATGGGGCCTCCTGCTGCCGCTGGAGCACAATTTCTGTTCTTATCCTGAAGCAAAGTTCTTAACCTGAAGCATTATTTCTGGGTTAGCGGAGTGCGTAACCTGAAGCGTATGTAAGCTGAAGCATATGTAACCTGAAGCGTATGTAACCCAAGGTACCACTGTATTGTGTTTCTGTTTTTTTCTTGATTCTTATCATTTACATTAATAAATTATATTTTAAAAGGCAACTTTGAGTCTGCCTTGGTGAGCAGCTTCAGTCCCGCGCCATGCCCAGTAAAAAGGCTCAGGGAGCAAACAAGAGAAAGTACTTCTGTCTCGGATCTGGAGAATCACTCTCACTCGGACTGGATCAGGGATAGGGATGGGATAGAAATTTGATTCAGTCTGCATTTAAATTCAAGCTTACCTAATTAACAGTTTGCAAAACCAATCGCAAATCAAATCAAATCATCCTCCAAAATTTGTACTTCTCAAATTTTGTAAGACAGTTCTCCAGTGGCACTTCTCACCTGTAGCAGCATGCTTGGCCAACACTGGGAACTTTGGAGTTTACCATGAAAGGGGGGGGTAGACAAAATATGGGACAGGCTCTGCCTGAGTGTTTGGTGCATCAGTATCATGAAATCAAGATACACTACGTCCACAGCATTTCCCTGATCCACCAAGTTTGTAATTCCATCAAAAAAAGAAATCAGAGTGGTCTGGCATGACTTATTTTTGAAGCTGCCTTATTCTGAGTCAGCCCACTTCATGTAATCCAGTATTGCTACTTATTCTGTCCCAGGGCTGCTCTCCAGGATTCGGGGCACCTCCCACAAGCAAAGCTTTTGACCTAGGCTCTCATCCCTCCCCAGTATTGTTTTTAAAAAATGATATAATAAATCATGTAATTCTCACTTGGTTTGTGAAGCCCAGATTTGGGGGGGGTGGATGCATGCTTGGGGCGGGCTGTGGATATTCTGTGCCTCTTCTCTGAATGTTCAGCTTTATATTTTAAAAAAGCCAGTCCCTAATGCCTGAAAAGATAAAGGAGGTTAGGTATGTGAAGGCCGTATTCTACCCAAATTCTGAGAAAATTATAGTAACCCAGCACCTACTTACCTCTTTTCTGGCCAACGGCTGCAAAGATATTGCCATAAGACACATTCATAGACACTTATTTTTTAAGTAGTCTATTGTATGCTATATAGTATTTAATACAAATAAATAAGACTATGAGGTGATCCTCCTGGATCAGGCTAGTGGCCCATCTAGTCCAGCATCTTGTTCTCACAGTGGCCAATCTGCAGTTCCCAGCATCTGGTATTCAGAGGCACACTGCCTCTGATATTGGAGGGAGAACACAGCCATTGACAGCCTTATCCTCCATGAATTTGTCTGATTCTCCTGTGGCAGTGAGTGCCATAGATTAACTCTGCACTGAAGAAGTACTTTGTTTTATCTATGCTAAATCTTTCAACATTCAGCTTCTTTTAGATACAGTATCCAGAATAGGGTCTCTATTTAACTTTTGGCTGTTTTGCATCAAGTTTTCACCACCCATCCCTGCCTCTCCTTCCCACTGTACACATAAGCCTCCTTAAATACAAAATTGGGGGGCCCAAATGATAGCATGGAAGCGAGTAAATATCTTATGAATTTGAAACCGGATGAGTAGTTGTGAAATACGACAAGAAATTTCCCTCTGCTTAGTGAAACTTCAAGGCAATATCGTGGTGTAGGTTATTGTGCGATCTTGCAGTTTTTGCAGGTTTGCTTGGGGTTTTTTGGTTTATATAACAATGTTTTTTCTTTATAAATGGAGGCCTCAACTCCCCCCACCCCCCCGCAAAAGACTTTTAACAATGTTTTCAGGGAAGTTCTGTGCTTCATTGATTACTGGTGTTTTGTGCTTTTTTAAAATACACAGTTTATAACAGTCAAAATTTGAAATAATAAGAAACAATTACACTTCATTGTACACAATTACAGTGGTACCTCTGGTTACAAACTTAATTCGTTCTGGAGGTCCGTTCTTAACCTGAAACTGTTCTTAACCTGAAGCACCACTTTAGCTAATGGGGCCTCCTGCTGCAGCGCAATTTCTGAGGTACTACTTCTGGGTTAGCGGAGTCTGTAACCCAAAGTGTTTGTAACCCGAGGTACCACTGTAATTAGCTGCAACAAAAAAGAAAAGAAAAAGCAGGGAGGCAATTTAAACAACAGTAAAACCATCCATTAAAAGGCTGTTAGAATAATGGTTAAATGGACCCTCATTGCCACATTGATCTCCCTTGGAACGCCCTCCCATCAGATGTCAAGGCAATAAGCAACTATCTTATTTTTAAAAGAGATCTGAAGGCAGCCCTGTTTAGGAAAGTTTTTGATGTTTAATGCTGTATTATGTTTTAATATTCATTTGGGAGCCGCCCAGAGTGACTGGGAAGCCCAGCCAGATGGGTGGGGTACAAATAAATAATAATTAGGAGCAGGAATTCCTCAGTTGTGGTGCTACCATTAAAAAGTACAGTCCCTGCTACCTGCGAGTCTAGGGCAGGGGGGCTCAAACTACGGTCCGTGTTCCAGATCTGGCCCGCCAGGGTCCTGAACCAGGCCCGCCCGGCAATTGCATTCCCCCCCCTTCCTTTTCCCAAGGGGAGGCTCTAAGTGAACACTTGGAGAGCACAAAAAGGGAAGCGGCGAAAAGGAGCAACAATTCTGTCCCCAGCATTGCAGAAGGTTCCTCGGCATTCCGAAAGGCTTTTAAAATGTTGTAATGAGATTGTTCTCGGTGTGTTTTCCCCCCTGGGCTCCTTTGGCAGGAAGGGGCTAGCAGGCCTGGCCTCTCATGAGGCAAGGTGAGGTGACCTCCTCAGGTGGCAGGATCCACAGGGGCAGCAGATCCCGATGTAGATCTTTATTAGCCCCTCATGCAGATCTTCACGTGCCCCATCTTTGCTATGTTAAAAGCACTGTAATCATTAATAAATTTATTATACTAGCCAAAGGTCATGACAAATCCATGCAATCAGTTTAAAATAAACTTGAACAGCTGCAAATACAAACAGTGACCATATACTGTGAGATAACTGATAACAGGGATACCATCAGGGCTACTCTGAGTTTCAGTTTAGACCTCCGAACCCCCCTTACAATGTGCAGCCATTTAATCCCGTTCCTTCTTCCAAACCCATCCAGAGCCAAAAGGCCCCTTTGGGTGTCATGAAGGCGTTGCTCTTACTCAACGCAGCCTCCGAGCCCTTTCCATCAGGGAGAACCGGCTTTTATTTACAAACAGGGACTTTAGACTAAAGCGCCACTTTGGATCTGCATATAAAGAACAAGTCATCATATAATAATAATAATAATAATAATAATAATAATAATAATTTATTATTTATACCCCGCCCATCTGGCTGAGTTTCCCCAGCCACTCTGGGCGGCTCCCAAGCAAGTGTTAAAAACAATACAGCGTTAAATATTAAAAACTTCCCTGAACAGGGAAGAAATATTTTTAACAGAAATATTTTCCATCTGTTATCAGTCATTCCTAAGTTTAGCCATCATCTTTTGCCACGAGGGTCTGGAGGCGACTTTAAGCAGCGCAGCAGAAAATGCAAAAGCCACACGACCAATAAACTTCAGCGCGCGAGCCAAAGGGGTTTGGGAAGCGCTCGCCTGGCGGGCTGCCGGACATTTGCCAGGAAAGGGGGCCACGCGCGCGCGGAGAGGAGGCCCCGCCGCCGCCGCCCCGGCCCGTCCTGCTTCCTGGTTCACGGGGTGCTGCTCGCTCGCTCGCTCGCTCTCCTTTCGCTTGCGATTCCGGGCTGGGCTCTGACGCCCGCCAGATCGCGCCCCGCCCCAAAGCGCCGCGTCCGAAGTAGGAAATCCACCCCCAGCTTCTGGGATCGGCGGCGTCGCCTCCCTTCGAAGATCGAAAGTTGGGATTAAAAGCAGGTGGATTTAAAAACTCGAGGGCTCGAGGCAGGCGACTCTTTGGAGGCGGCGAGGAGCGCAGCCAGCGAGCGAGCGAAGGGACCCCGGTGGCTTCGAGCAGGTTGGCCAGCCTTGGAGGCGCCGCGGGGCGGGGCGGGGGGCGGCCGGGGGGCGCTGCCGGGTCCGGGGCGGCGGCGGAGCGAGGCGAGGGGCCGAGGAGAGGCGCCCAGGTGCGCCCAGGTGGCTTCCTAGCGGGCGGGCGGGAGGAAAAGAGGCTGCGGGGGCGCCGGGGAGCCCGTCCGCGTCGAAAGGTGCCCGGGGAAAAGGCGCCTTCGAAACGAGGGGCGATCCTGCGCACGCTTCCGAGCACATGCTGGCTTCAGCGGGTCTTACTCCAAGGAAATAAGTTTGGGAGCTGCCAGTGCCAGGCTCGCTTGGGTCTCGTTCCAGATTTGCAATTCGCCGCCCTGCCTTTTTTAAAAAGGGCCACTGCTATTAACAAATAAACTACAGTTGACACGTGGACAAATCAAGAAGGGTGACTTGACTCCAGTTTAATTTCGTAACATATTGCCAGTATTCCAGAAAACGAGCAGCCCATCCCCACCAGCATTTGGCTCAATCTGGTTAGTCTAAATTTAAATTCAAGCAGAAAATATTTTCTTCTCTTTGAACACTCCCCCTCCCGTTTATCAATATGCCAACACTTTATATTATTTCATTGGTAAAGTAAAATAAAAACGACATTATTCACACTTAATCTAAGCACAATCACAAGAGCTCCTGATTAGGCATTTAGCTATGTGATGTTGAATGTTATCTGTTAACTGTTCTATCCTGTTCCCCCATTGTTTTTGTTTAAACCATTTCAGAAACCAAGAACTTAGACGCTGACCACTAATGATGAACCTTATGTTGTAGATATTGCTGCGCATTTATTATGCTATTTTTGTGATTTACAAATCACATGAGAAGACTTGGTCTATTTATTTATTTATTTATTTGTATCATTTATTATTCCTATGATCTTTGTTTATAAAACCCAATAAAACATTATTCCTAAAAAGTTCACTGCTAATAGATTCAAATCCCAGCTCACAAACGTGCTTTGAAGGTGTGTCCTGGTGCATGTGCTTGCAGCGTATGTGCAAATTTATGTTGGGGAATTCCAGAAAACTTGTTAGCAGGATGTTGCACCTAGAAGCCACACACACACACACACACACACACACACACAGCGTGAGAGAGAGCGTGTGTTGCCTCACAGACTTAAAATATATCTCTGTGGCTTGTGCCTCTGTGGCCTAGGGAGCGTTCCATTCTCTTTCCTTTTACAAGAATTATATACTATTGGTTTGTAACGTACAAAACTTCTCAGAGGTTTACACAAAATAAAACAAACTTTAGAATTGCCCATAAAAGGCTGTTAAAAGCAGGAATTTTAAAAATGTGCAGGAATTTTTCAAAAGTGTAATTCATCAGATGCATTCATGAACCAGGGGCCACCTAAATGGAGTATATATACAAAATCTATCTCATTTCTCCCCCTGAGTTCAGTTTTGATTTGTTTTTGTAGAAGGCAAGTCAACACAAGAGATACAGATACCATAGTGATAAGCTGAGCACAGAATTCAACCCGATGAATACAGGACCCAGTCTGTGTGGGTGTGACGCCTCCTGGTTAGGAACCACTACATTCACAGTAGTGTTGCTCCTGACAATGTTTCATAGCAATTAGGTTTATTACAGGAACAAATAATTGACCAAACTCCTAGAATAGTCAAGTTTAGTAATTAATACAATAATGCTCAATTCTAACAACAGTTCATTTTGGTGCACCATAATGGCAGCATAAAGCTCTCAATTCATGTATCCAAACTAGCAAGAAATATTTTAGCATCAAATGCCCATCTGGCATATTGCCTAATTACAGGTTTATCTCCTGTAAAACGGCTTTGTAAAGTTGCAGAAAGCACCAAAGAAAGTGTTAATCCCCACCACCTCACTTCCAAAGCATCAGGGCCCTAACCTGAATCTGAGATTAGGGTCTGTGTGCAAGCCCACTGTGGCTGCTTTTTACAAACATTTAAAGCAGGGGTTGGGAACCTTAGGCCCAGGAACCAAATGCAGCCCTGCAGACCTCTCCTATCTGACTATTGCAACTCTCCCTAAGCCACATTCCTGCCCTGGCCCTGCTTTGCACCCCAAAGATTTTTACATGACCGGAACATGTCCTTGAAATCAGATTTTGCCTCTTACTTGTCTGGATGAAGAACAGAGAAAGGGGTGCAAATATGTGTAGAAACTGGCCAGCTGTACAAAGCTACCATTTATATTTGTTCCTCCACCCACTTTTGCCATTGTCCCGCCCACTACTGGCCTGTGGTCCTCTGAGGAGGGAAGCGAATGTGACCCTCCAACTGAACAAAATTTCCCACTCCTGATTCCGGAGATCTGATTATGAATCTTTATTGTTGTCTCATCGCTTTTATCTCAGGCTCCACTCCTCCGCATGCAATACCAGAATCATGGCAAGATAATGCATATGTGTTATGTATTATTATTACTTAACATCTTGGGCTGGAGGGTGGTTGAAGGACAGCCAGCCTATTTATGTCCTTCCCCATGTGCTAAGGAGAGATCTCAACACCTTTCTCCCTAGAGAGGTCTGCCTGTACCTACTCTAATGTCCTTTTGGGGCCAAGTAAAGGCTTTGCTGTATCTTCTCAAACTTTTTAGACACAGTTTTAATCCTACTGTTTTTATACAGCTTATGATTTTGAGACTTTTGGTAAATTAAGGCATTTGTACTTGCATAATAATAGTATTATCCTTGTAGTGAAGCACTATGGGAATCTGGTTGAAGAGTGGTATAAAAATCAGAAATCATGATCATAATCTTGCCCAACGAGGCATCCTGTCAAACTGTACTAAGGTCTAAGGGGCAGTGGAGACTGTAATAAAGGGGAAGTGTTTCAAATACGTTATTCACTTGGTTTCCTTGGGGAGGATTGCCTAACCAGCAAAATGTGTACAGCCTGCAGCTTTGGGGACAGTGGGTGTTGGTTGCTCAGAAGATGAGTAAGATCCGTGTCAAGTCGTGTGGTGTAATACAGTGGAAGCAGAATATCGGTGGGTATATTGTGCAAATGGTAAGATACAGCATATTGTGTTTGCCAAAATCATAAGGAAGTCCAGGAAAAGTCTGAGAAAATGCTGCCAGGATTGTGGTTTACTTCTTTCAAAGAAGCTTGGATTTTTAGGACAATAAATCCCACAGCTTAAGGCTGTACCTCACAACTCGCATGGCTGCTGTTCCCAGCACCCTTAATAAACAGCAGCTCCCAGGATTCTTTGGGGGAGAGAGCCATATGCTTCAAATGTGTGTTGAATGTGCTTCAATTGTACAGTGTGGATAGCACCTAAGTGTTGGAAGATTGAAGGTAGACAGAATGAAGTAGCTCTTCACACTGTGCAGAGTTAAACTATGGAATGTGCTTGCACAGTATGTAGTAATAGCCTTACTGCCCATGAATGGGCCGTCAGTGGCTACTAGCCATGGTGGCTGCCTTCTTATTTCCACGGTTGGAGGCGGTATATCTCTGAATGCCATTTTCTGGGAATTGCAAGTGGAGAAAGCGCTGTTGCAGCGCTGAATCTGGCAGGGGGAATTAAAGAGGCACATGGCCCAGGTGATAAGTTTGGAGTGCAGCAGAATTACTGGTTTCAACATTCCCCCCTCCCCAAATGCGGAAAGGAGAGAGGAGGCAAAAGGTCTGGCCTTGGTCTGCACAGATCCTCCCTCCCCTCCCCTCCCCTGCTCACTGGAAATGCCCAGCGTAGTGTCCGCAGCTGCACCAAGATCAGGCACCTCCTTTGTCCTCCTACTCCCACCCAGGTCTTCAACTTTCTTCAAAGTCTGGTCTACCACAAGAGACGGGTCCAGAGAAGTCTTTGCCTCATTCTCTTGCTGGCTACCTCCTTCCTAGGACCCTCTGTGCCAGACAGGGCAGGCACAGTGTTAGGAATTCTGTCTGCTGTGTACATCCAAGGAGCAAGGAGAGAGAGAGAGAGAGAGAGAGAGAGAGAGAGAGAGAGTGTTGGTCTTACATAATCTGCCTTGATTTCCTTCCTTTCCTGGTCTTATCATTGCCAAAATCCTGCAATACAATATAATTTCCTGACTACTAAACTATAAAGTGATTTAATTTTTTTCCTTTAATTGAAGTTTTAATCTGACGAGTCAGTATAAAGAAAATGGACAATTCCTTAATTCATTTTCAAAGCCCCCTTTTCTTACTTTCACACACTATCCTATTTGAAGCTTTTTTCCCTTTTAATGTTAGTTTAAGGAAATGCCTAAGAAATAGTTAAGCAGGAAGAATGTTATAATGTTATTTGGCAGAATGTGTTTTAGTTTCTGTAACGAAAGAAAAAGTCGATGTTGGAAGGAATGTAGGGTACCAGTTGTTTAAAAGTTGCTTGGGAAGTCACAATCATGGAGGAAAAGTTTTATTAAACTGAACTGAGAGAATGTAGAATTCAAACAGATGTTTTTCAGATGAATTTAACATTTCCTGTAAAGAACATGGGCTGGAATTTTGCTTTCAAAGTTCTGAATTCAGTGCAGAAAGAACACGGGCTACTTGATGGTTGGGTTCTTGGTTTATATATCATGCACTTTGCATGGTGTAATTTGTATTTTAATTGATTTAACTGTTTCTTTTAAAATAATATAGGAATTGTTTAATAAAATTATAAAGTTAATTAAACAGTTAAATATTTAGAACCAAATACAATCAAATCTCAGTTGTCGAACATAATCTGTTCTGGAAGCCTGTTCGGCTTCCAAAACGCTTGACAACTGAGGTGCGGCTTCCGATTGGTTGCAAGAGCTTTCTGCACTCAAGCAGAAGCCGTGTCGGACGTTCAGCTTTCAATAAACATTCAAAAACTGGAGCATTTACTTCCGGGTTTTCGGTGTTCGGGAGCTGAAACGTTTCAAAACGGAGGCATTTGGGAACCGAGGTTTGACTGTAGTCAATTCAACAATTTTTAAGAATACCCAAACATTCTGGGCTTAGCTTCTGTGTATAGCAGCACTGCAGTAAAGCTACCATGAAACAGGAGGATCATGGCGTGGTGTGGATATGATCCACCTGCTTCATGGTTGATTTATTGCATGGCTGTACACACAGGAGACAGTTGCAGTTGCCTGTGAAGTGGTACCGGTGGGGCACCTTTGCTCTCCCAGCTGCCCAACGCAGTGTTTGCTGGCTCTGACTGGAAGGGGCGAGAGGCAGGGATCTTGGCCCGGTGTGGCCTGTGATGGCAGGGCCAAACTGCTCTTTCTGCTGCTACACACCACACCAGGTCAAACACGTCTCTTCCCGCCCCACCTCCACTTGGTAAATGCCCGCAGCTCACAGTGTTGGGAGACATGGGAGCAACGGTGCGCCACCCATGCTGCCTGCATCACTGGGTGCTGCTGATAGGAGCCAAGCCTAGCATTTCTAGGTTGAAATTGAAAATCAGTTATGATTAGCAATTATGGTCAAAGGAAATGCAAAATCAAAACATGTTGGGATTTGTGACTAGAGGATGTGGAGAATGTGGCATCTGATAGCAGCAGGAGGGTGTTCTAAAACCAAGGTGATCAGAGAGCCTGTGGTCCTTTAATAGAGGCTCAGTGCCTGCAGTAGGTTGCATTTGGTCAGAAGGTGTTTGGGGATCTCTGGCAGGGCAGCAACATATAGTGGAAATGGAGTAAATCTACTGGAGAGAAAGAGAGAGAGGAAGCATGTGCTGCTGTTCTTGGGTCAAAGTCGGTTGATATTTGTGTGTCAGTTTACTGTATAGACTTGAGGCTGGAGATGGACAATAGTTTTTCAGAGAGCTGAAAGTGGTTTGAAAGAACAACATTACAGATGGACTACCTCCCCCCCCCCTATTCAGTGAACATGGGAGGGGGAAGTTGGAATATCCCTGCTAGCCACACCCCCTGACAGCCAATCCGGTTTCCTGCTTGTGTAGAAGGAGTCTAGTGTGTGTATTTCTACATGGTTTGGCCCCCTTCGACATAAATGCCACTATACAGTGCCAAGGGGGTGTAGCCGGGTGAGCTCCCTTTGCTCAGTCCCAGTTTCTGCCAACCTAGTTCAAAAGCACACCAGTGCGAGTAGATAAATAGGTACTGCTGTGGTGGGAAGGTAAACGGTGTTTCCATGCGCTCTGGTTTCCGTCACGGTGTTCCATGCGCCAGAAGCAGTTTAGTCCTGCTGGCCACATGACCCGGAAAGCTGTCTGTGGACAACCGCCGGCTTTCTTGGCCAGAAAGCGAGATGAGCGTGGCAACCCCAGAGTCGCCTTTGACTGGACTTAACCGTCCAGGGGTCTTTTGCCTTTATCTTCACATTGATGCTGAGGGTTTGGCTATGCAGCACTGTTCTTGTCTAGCTTTGTGTTTTCACAGAACAGATATTTCATAGATCCCACGTTTGCTTTTGAGCATACAGGGTTCTGTGGTCTTTTTAAACAATAACAAAACCTGCAAAATCTGTTTACCTGAAGCGGGATGAATTTACAGATCCTGGGCAGGGATCCCTTTCTCAAACCGCTGAATGAGTTCTGAAGAATAACAGAAGCAGTGACACAGCCATCTTGCACTTCAAATAAATTGAAAGAAGGATGTTTGAGTCAGGATGAACTCGCTGTGACGTACTCAGTGAAATATGCTCCTGAATAGACAGTGCTGTCAGGTTTCCTTGCGATATGTCTTGCCTGTTTCCTTCATGCCAAATTACGGTAAAAGACTTCTGTAGTGAAGCAAAGCATCATTGTGCATTTAGAGCAGAGGGGAGAAATCTCAGGGCCTGGGAGTTGCCCTCTAGACCTCTCTGCCTCACCCTTTGAACTTTCTCTAGGTCACACTCCCTTTTCCAGGCCACAGCCCAGACGGGTCCGGCTCTGTTCCTTTCTTGAGAACTTTTCCCCGGCTGGAACATTTTCTTGAGCTCTGGTAACACTTCTTGCTTAGCTGGATGGGGGACAGAGAGATGCCTTTTGTATGGCTGGGCTGTACCCTCCTGTACAAAGGTAAGAGTCAGACACCTGCTGCTGCACACCTTATATTGCTGATAGGATGAAAGGTTGCAGGTGGTATAAACTTTCTTCCTCCCCAAGAAGGAAACTTTGGCAGGAAGTTGTAACAGCTTTCCGTGGGTGTGATTGCAGAGATTTTAAATCTTACCCCCACCACATATTATGTAACATGCATCGGATTGTAAATTCCAGGACTTTAGATGTGAGCCACTTGTACTGCATGACCTTTGTGTGAATACTGAAAAATTCTATTAGTTTACCCAGATAGGCACAGCTGGCCTACACAATTTTGCTGCCTGAGGTCCCATCTGGACTATATATTTAAAGCAGTATCACACAACCTTATACAGTGGTGCCTCGCAAGACGAAATTAATCCGTTCCGCGAGTCTCTTCGTCTTGCGGTTTTTTCGTCTTTCGAAGCACAGCTATTAGCGGCTTAGCGGCTATTAACGGCTTAGCGGCTATTAACGGCTTAGCGGCTTTAAGAAAAAGGAAACAAACTCGCAAGAACTCGCAAGATGTTTCGTCTTGCGAAGCAAGCCCATAGGGAAATTCATCTTGTGGAACGACTCAAAAAACGGAAAACTCTTTCGTCTTGCGCATTTTTCGTCTTGCGAGGCATTCGTCTTGCGGGGCACCACTGTACAGTCATGGCTTTCCCCAAAGAATTCTGGGAAGTGTAGTTTGTTAAGGGTGCTGAGAATTGTGAGGAGACCCCTGTTCCCCTCACAACTACAATTCCCAGAGTTCCCTGGGAAGAGGGACTGACTGTTAAACTAAGAATTGTAACTCTGAGGGGTAAGGGGTCTCCTAACAAGGTGAAACAGCAAATGTTGCCTCTCCTCATTCTCCCGTTCCCCAAGTTGAGATGCATGGCCATAGTACCAAGGGCGACCATGTCATTTTTGAACCCGTGGCAGAAAATATCCCAAAAAAAATATTTTTTTTTAATAAGATATTTATTAGGATTTTTTAAAAATATTACAATAAAAAATGAAAAAGAAGAAAAAATACAAAATAAAAATGATTAAAAACACTCAGATTTTCCATTGCTTATTTTTCTTTAGCTTGTTTCCCGGACCTCCTCATACCTCCCTTTTTTGTATTCCAGTTCAGTTTGTTGGTTCAGCAAATCCTTACCCTCTTTATTTATCCTAATCTTTGGTCTTAAAATTTCTCTCCCCCTCTAAGAATTTACTGATCTCATTAATCAGCTACCTGGGGATTTTATGGCACCATTGAAGTTTTACCATCAAATGTTTGTTTGTTTTAAACCCATTTGATAGATAGCTCTGGAAGTCTCAAAAATTCAGCAGCCAATGGAGTTTGGCTTTGTCTCATCACTTTTTGATCAATTAGTGTTTCGCTTTGCCATGGCAGGTATTGTAATTACATTTTCAAGGGAAAAGGAAGGGCTGGTTTGCTTCATAACTATATTTTCCTCAGAAACATTTCACCAACATAATTCCCTCCAGATATTTTGAACTACAGCTCCCATATTTTCTGACCGTTGTCCATGCTGGCTGAGGATGATGGGAGTTGCAGTCCTGAATATCTGGAGCAGACCATGTTGACATGTCTTGCAGGTCATGGCAGGCGCTTCTCAGGCATGGTAATAGGGAGGTAAGTCTGCTTTCTTTCCTGTTTTACTTCTTCAGTTACTTTAGTACTATAACCTGCCATCCAGAATTAGGCCTAGTCAGATGAGGGAGTAGAGTTCTTGCTTTTGCTAATGTTGTTCTCATTCTATAATTTTAAAAGTTATATGCTGCCCCAATATTGTAATATTCTCAGGTTATGTGGTGCTAGAATGGACTGCATCTGTGGGATGAGATTTTTTAGTGTTCCCCTCAATAGTGAACAAGGCTCCTGTTTTTGTCCCTGTTGTGCAATCTTATAATGGGTTGTATTTATGTGAAGGATCATCAAAAATGGGTGCCCCTTCCTGTAGTTTGAAATAGTCCATTCCAGGGGCAAAACTAGGCTTTACTGCATTTACACGAATCTAATGTGCCATTGAATCTAAAGGGCACCCTAATTTTCACGACATATTTGACAAAAAAAGGTGCACATTACATTTGAGTAAATACAGTATTTCACCCGCGTCAAAGACCCAGTTTGGCACCCCCACATGCATTTTGTACACACACAGTCTAGGAGCTTCAATGGTACCCCTCTGCAGGCTTCACCCGGGGTAAAAAGCCCAGCTAGCCTGCCCCCCCCCCAGCTGTGGCTTTGGTCCAGTTCACGTTACCCCTTCAGGATTCTTACCACCTGATTCTGCTCCATGTGTAGACTTCAGTTAGAAAGCCTTCTGAGGCTGACAATATTTTCCTCAAGTTAAACAGGTGGGTAAATATTCAGGTGTGTGGTTACTTGCAGTTGAGTTAAATTTGCCTGTTTTATGTCGTACAGAATCATTAATAAACTGGAACAGATTGGTTGCTCTCCAGTCCTTCCCCAGCTATCAGTCTTGTGCCATAAATCATTAATGTAGCTGTGTGTGCTTAGCAAAGCTGGTCAATATTTGTGTGTGTTCGTACCATTCATTTTCGTGATTAAAGCAATATTATTTCTGCCTTGTGTACTCAGTTTGCACATTGAATAGGAGCAGAATCACCTGTTTTCCCCTACACAGAAGTTACATCACTCCCTATAATAGCAGACTCAGAGGGTGAGTGCCAACCTGAATGGAGCCAAGATGTGGCCACTGAGAAACAAGAGGGAGGTAGCTGTTTCTTAGGGGAATCCTAAGGTTTATAGATGTACCCTCCAGAAAAAAAGCCTTTACAAAAACCTAAGGAGGCAACCCACCCAAAAAAGCGACTCACTGAGGATTGAGCATTCTGAGTAACTATGGAGAGCTGATGTCAGATACGAAATCCCGAAACGGAGGTGGAGGGAAGAGGAATGCCCTGTTTGTGCTCTTTACAGTTTATAGCAGGGGTTGCTGGAGTGCAGCTTCCAACATCATATCTGGCCACCAGTCACGTTGGCTGGGGCTGATGGAAATCCAATGACACATGGAGGGCCACATTCTCCCCGCCATGGCTTAAAGTATCCTGGACACTTCTATTGGGAAGTGAAGAAACGCTGCAACCTTTCACTTGTGTGTCCCAATCATTTTGCCACATTAATAAATACAGTGGTGCCTCGCAAGACGAAAAGAATCCGTTCTGGGAGTCTCTTCGTCTAGCGGTTTTTTCGTCTTGCGAAGCAAGCCCATTGATGGGATTAGCGGATTAGCGCTATTAGCGCTATTAGCGGCTTTTAGCGGCTTTTAGCAGCTTATCAGCTTATCGGATAAGCGGCTTAGCGACTTAGAAAAAGAGGGGGAAAAGGAAAAAAAAACCCAGGAACTCGCAAGACATTTTCGTCTTGCGAAGCAAGCCCATAGCAGATTCGTTTTGCGAGGCACCTCCAAAACAGAAAACTCTTTCGTCTAGCGAGTTTTCCGTCTTGCGAGGCATTCATCTTGCGGGGCACCACTGTATTGAGAGCTAGCCCTTCCTTTTAAATAGCTTGGTCTGCGTACCACCTCCTTTGCAGGCAGCCCCGATTATGGTTTTGAAGCCAAACAGATCTAGCCTTGTAAACTGCTTGGATGAGAAATGTCTTGTATGCAATCCACTCAGAACAGTATAAAGAAAGGCTGGAGATGTACACCTTAACCTTGCTCTAATACAATATATGTGATTCATATGATGCCGGTAAATCCTGGTTTGGGGAAGCGTGCTCCATTCTCTGGATGACCTTGGATAAGGCAGTCCCGAGTCTGTAGGGTGCAAAGAAGCTTGCTGTCATTGTTTACCAAAATGTCCTTTCTTGAATAAGAGTATAACTTTCAGCTGCTGTCTTCCCCATTTGCTCAGTTAGTTAACGTACAATGTGAACATTAACTCACTGGACAATGTCCTTTTCTCCCTCCCTTTGTGGAGGATAAGGCTGTTGGTAGGTACTGGGAGGCAGTGTGCCTTGACAATCCCAAATGGGGAGAGTTCTGTTGTGCTCAGGTTTTGCTTGGGGGCTTCCCATGGGCATCTGGTAGGACAGGATGCTGGACTAGATGGGCCACTGGCCTGATCCAGCACGACTATTCTTACATGCTTGCCTTGTTCTAAGAGCTTATCAGCTGATAAAATCACATGGATGCTTCAGACGACCTGCACTGTTTATATAGAGCGGCAGCTTCGGAGAAGTTCTAGGACAGCAGGTGTTTTTGTGGCTGTCTGGCATTGAATAGCTGCTTGCATTTCTGGCCTGCATCACTGCTTGAATGCAAAAAGTATCAGCTTCAATCTCCAGGTAGCACTGAAACCCTGGAGAGCACTGGTGTGCAGAAGAGAGTGAAACTTGCAGTTCTGAGAGAGAGAAATGGAGCGGTTTTTGGGTGTTGTGTCAGAGGAAGTGCTAGGCAGAGGAAGTGTGAGTGACATCCTAGTTGGTGATTTGTGCACTTCCTCTGTCAGGGAGATGCTTTCCTGGCTCCCTCCCAACACTTGCAGACAGAGGCTCTTGGAAGTGTGAAAGAGATAGATGCAGCACTTTGCAGTTGCAGATCAGGATTAGGGCAAGAAGTTGAGAACTGGACAGAAGCAACAAAGGTGTCCCGACAAGCTTCCCCACTCCTCCTGCTAAGCTTTAACCTACAAGGTTTTGGGCTTGCAAGACTCCCTCACCTTATGAGAATGTTGGGATTGCAAGCATGCCCTCCTTTGGGGCGGGTGGGTCTGCTCCCATCCACAAAAGCAACACCTGGTTCTAGGCATCATAGCTCCACCCTCCTGCTCATCCTGTTCAGTTGCAGCTTCCTCCTTGGCTGATCAAAGGCCAACTCAGCCTCCACTGAGGCTTTTCTGCACCGCCACATGGCAGCAGAGCTGGCACCTCCAGCTTCCAAAGCAACTGAAGTCCGAGTGGAAAGGGGTGATTCTCCCTCCTCCAATCCAGGTGCCCACAATTCTGCACGATAAGCTTCTTCTTCTTCCTCCTCCTCCTCCATCAGAGCCTGATCCTGACAGCACTGCAGGATCATATTTGCATTAATTTTTATTTATGTATATATTTAAAGCATTCCAGTCCTTCTCTTCAACCAAAAGTGGCTCCCCACTGTGCTTATAAATGTCAGTGATAAAGCAGGCCCATCCCTCAGATTTACAATCTAAAAGATTCAACACAAAAGGGAAAGGGATTGGGAGGGCAGAGGAAAAAAGAAAGCTCAGGTATGAAACTACAGAGTTCTTGAAATAATCAGTTGAGATTCAAAGATTTCAAGGAGGATCCAAAAGTTGCATGTCTTTCCGCAGAGCAGACGGAGAGGTCATTCTGCAATCCCGTTTCTCTTCCTCTCCAATTGCCTTCGGAATTACATTCTTATGTTAACAAACATTTTCTACAACCATCTGCAAAAAAATGTATTCTTTTGTTTTTAGGGTTCAACTGAAATGAACAGAAATTGAAATCATGGCCAATCAAACTTTACTTGGCACTTCCACAGGTCTTGGCTGGAAATCTTGTTGGCTTCAGTAGAATATATTTTACTTCCATAATTTATTGTGTTTAGGTTTTGGCTGCTAGTTGCTTTGCAAAGGAGATGTTTTTTCCCCAGCTGCTCTGGTTTGGTGTTTGCAAAGTTTTAAAGTCTTTTTGTTGTTGTTACTGGTATAACGTGCAAGTACTTTATAATACAGTACAATCTACCTCGCAAAGGGAGTTGGTAACATTGGCTGCAGGGGGAGAGGCAGGAAGATAAAGAGATGCAAGTATGATTTTTTAATGACATCTGGCATTTGATAGTGTTCAGATTCTTAAAGGACATGACAGTTTAAATCGGCACTTTTCAGTGCAGTAGCAAGATCTGTTACAGAAGGATCACAAATGACATTGTGATTGTTTTCCTTTTCTCGTGAAGATGTTCTGCGATTTGCAGAACGGGACTCCCTAAACATAGCCTGGCACTTCCTGGTATACAATAGATTTTTGATTAATGCATTTTTATGGCCAAGATGCTAGAATTCATGTCTTCGTGCTTGAGTGGGGGCTGAAAAAGAAGCAGCTTTTGTGGTTTCAGTGTGGGCAAAAAAGGGGAACAATCTGTGTGTTTTGTGCTTTCTGGAAAAGATTGTTAAGAGGTTTAAGGTGGATAGAAGCATTCTATGTGGATTTGGACATTTGGATATCTTATACGTTCAAATTACGATAGGTATATTGATGGTTACTATATTCTCTCAGTGTGAGCTGGTGGGTGTGTTTTCTTTTCACTATTGTTTTGTTTTCTCTGTGTTCCTTCCTTTGTTAATTTGTTATAAAATACTCTTTTGAAAGAAAGGAAAGGCTTTGGGGAGCTTGACTGATGTTGTTTGGAACTGGGAAGCTTGCTCCCCATCTTCTTAACCTATATGTATTCTCAGTGTGAGCTGGTGTGGGTTTTTCCCTTTTCTTTTTTCCTGTTAAATTTGTTATAGTTTTATTTTAAAAAAGAAAGGGTTTGGGGGAGCTTGATCAATATTGCTTTGAGACGAGCACTGCCACCCTGCTTGGAAGCTTGCTGCCCCTCTACTCAACCTGTATGTTTGCAGAGGCATCATGCATTTTCCTATAAAGGAAAAAAAACCCTAATAAATGGCTGTTCTAAAATTCTGTGCCTTGGATATGTGAGAGAGAGGTCTGAAACACTGCTTGGGTGCACTGGAGGGAAAATACATATTCTGCACTTATGCTAATTAACAGGAAGCCTGCAAGTGAGCATTTGTCATATCTTGGTTTCCCCCCTCTTTGAAGATAACATGTATGGCTTGAATTTGGGCTTTTATCCTTTTTTAATGCAGTCTGTTGTTGTAGGGGTTGGTTGCTGGAAGAAGCAATAAAGACAGAGTTTGTGACACTGAGAGGTGTTGGACAGATGAAATGAATTTCAGAGAGTTAAAATCCATGCCCTGGATTCCCTAAACCAGCTACCAACTGCTTGGTCCCTGCCCCCCCCCCCAAAATGCCCAACACAAAACAGTATTAGGTGTAGTGTTGATTCTTTTCTAATAGGTCTTTTGTTCATGTGATTTTCTTAATAAATACTAGTAAGTTCAACTTGTGTCAAAATCCTCCATTTGGCCAGTGTTTCCAAGTTGTCAGTGTTTATACTACATTTTTTTTAGATTTGCCTTGAGACAGTCTTTAAACCTCTTTTGTTGTCCGCCAGCATTGTGCTTTCCGTTTTTAAGTTCGGAATAGAGGAGTTGCTTTGGAAGACGATAATCAGGCATCTGCACCACATGACCAGTCCAAGTTGATGTTGAAGAATCATTGCTCCGACATTGGTGATCTTTGCTTCTTCCAGTACACAGTGAAATGTAGAAACAGCCAGACTGCCTTATCTCTTTGAAATTACTTAGAAGGGTGTCTGCACTCTTGTTTCCAGAAATGACTGTATTCCAGAGATTCCAATGCTGAACTTTAAAATCTGTGGAAAGGACAAGGAAAGGACCTTTCATTTGTACTTTGTTTTAAATTACTTACTCCTCTTTTTGTGGGCCTGCCTGCACCCGGGAATGTGATTTAGAGTATTTGCAATCTGTTTGTCTGCTTGGGATGGTGGGAAGGGGCTTTTAGGTGGTGGTGAGGGGCTGCTAGTTGTTTCTTTGTTTGCTTGCTTAAAATTGAATACATGAATATTTGTGTGTATGGAAAAAAGAAGGGTGCCTTCATATTTTCCTTTATAACTTTCTAGTAGGCTTTGAGTCTTATTTCTGCTTCTTTTTTAGTGACAGTTCAGAACCTCTGCCCCCTACAGGGAGGGGCCCTGGTGCAGTTGCCCCGTTTGCCCCATGATAAATCTGGGCATAAATGAGAGCTATGTTTACCTGTCTCAAGATTTCCTTGTTTATGCCAACAAACCTTTATTTCATTTCATTTCATTTCATTAAAAAATATTTCCAGCCTTTTTGATGGTGAATTTTGTTGCACATGTGATAATAGCTGTTGCAATAGTGTGCTATAAATGGCTCTTTATTAAGTACCTCTTAACTGCAGTCTTGCCCCAACTATCTAAATTAGATGGTTTCTGACCCTTTCCCTTATACAGTGGTGCCCCGCAAGACGAATGCCTCGCAAGACGGAAAACCCGCTAGACGAAAGGGTTTTCCGTTTTTGAGTTGCTTCGCAGGACGAATTTCCCTATGGGCTTGCTTCGCAAGACGAAAATGTCTTGCAAGTCTTGAGATTTTTTTTTCGCTTCCCCCTTTATCTAATCTGCTAAGCCTTTAATAGCCTTTAATAGCCTTTTAGCAGCTAATCCGCTAAGCCTTTAAGCCTTTAATAGCCGCTAAACCGCTAATAGCGCTAATCCGTTAAGCCGCTAATAGGGTTGCTTCGCAAGACGAAAAAACCGCTAGACGAAGACTCTCGCGGAACGGATTAATTTCGTCTTGCGAGGCACCACTGTAATAGTTAATGAGTAAATGTAGTGGCTTGACTTACTGTAAAAGCTTGAAACCGCTACAGGCATTGTAGTACATTGAAGTACATTGAAGTACATCCTGATTGTTTCAGATGCGTCATCGGGAGGCTGACATATTTTTTTAATAGTCAATCATTATTTCTAGTAGCTGGAGGACAGCTAGACCCAGCTGCCTCGTGTTACTCAGAGTTGAAGGAAGACAGCAAAGGGACCAGCCGTGCTTCAGGTGAAGAGGTCAGAATGCTGAGGATGAAATAAGAACTCTGAGACACAAGAGTGTAAAAACATTCCCTAGAGTACAGTGCTAATATATACTGAAAAATCTGGACCAAATTATTCAGATACAGTGGTACCTCGGGTTAAGTACTTAATTCGTTCCGGAGGTCCGTTCTTAACCTGAAATTGTTCTTAACCTGAAGCACCACTTTAGCTAATGGGGCCTCCCGCTGCTGCTGTGCCACAGCCACACAATTTCTGTTCTCATCCTGAAGTAAAGTTCTTAACTCGAGGTACTATTTCTGGGATAGCGGAGTCTGTAACCTGAAGCGTATGTAACCTAAAGCATATGTAACCTGAGGTACCACTGTACTCTCCTTGGTCATTTCTGGATAGGGGAGCCCTGCATTTCTTCTTAGTGTGGTACAGCAGCTGGCTCCAGGGACCTCTGGTGAACCAGTGTGGTGTAGTGGTTAAGAGCAGTGGACTCGTAATCTGGTGAACCGGGTTCAGTTCCCTGCTCCTCCATATGCAGCTGCTCTTGGGCTAGTCACACTTTTCAGAAGTCTCTCAGCCCCACTCACCTCACAGAGTGTTTGTTGTGAGGGAGGAAGGGAAAGGAGAATGTTAGCTGCTTTGAGACTCCTTCGGGTAGTGATAAAGCGGGATATCAAATCCAAACTCCTCTACCCTGCTTCTGATTTCTTGTTCCTGAATCTTCAGAGAAGCAGGTACCTGGTTTAGGAAGTCAAGAAGGAGCCAGACTGGAGGAAACTGGGCGTCTAAACTGCAGCAATAGAATAATAGAACACTTCAGTGGTTTTACTTAGAGAAGACTTGCTGAAATTAACAAGCCTAACTTAGTCACTCCCATTAATTTCAACTGTTCTGCTCAGACTAATGTTGGCTGCACTGAGTGAAGAATTTGAGGCCATCCAGATGTTGTTGGTCTCCAGCTCTGATCAGACCAGCCAGCAAACTCAACAGTCAGGGATGATGGGAGTTGCAGTCCATGACCACCTGGAGGTCCTCATGTCTTTTGGCCCTGCCATATATGATAGCAAAATAGTTCTAGAATTAGTTGTCAAAGCAGTGAAGCTGACTTTCAACCAGCCAAACTAATGCAATTGGCAGATAAACTCCAGGGCAGTGTTGGGTTGACACACCAGAGAAAACTGGCACACATATAGAGGAAAAAGTGCAGAAAAGACTTTCTATTCTTTGTGGTGTGATCAGTTTTTTTGTCACAGTTCTTGGTTTTGTAGGGAAAGAGTGGGCTGAGGCCTAGCTCATTGGAGGCTTTTTTGGCAGTGAAGAGAGATTTTAGTGCTGTCGGGAAATTGCCAGGATCTGATGAGTAGCATGTGTTACCCATTCCCGTAGCTGGGATGCTGACACTGATTCTCAGACATATGCGTAAACTAAAATAATGTGTGCTTCTGAGAGCAGAGCCATAGCTACGGAGGATGGGGCTAGCCAGGTTTATTGGCCCGGATGAAGCCTCCCAGCATGTGTGTGTGTGTGTTTGTTTGTGTATGCAAATGTGTGTGGGGGGGTGCCAAACTGGTTCTTTGACCCGGGTGAAATAAAGCCTACTTTTGCCCCTGTCTGAGGGTACTTCTAGCCAATATATTGCAAGGGGCATTAAAGTGCATAGCAGAACTTTATGTTTGCACAGTTAAAGTGGATTAAAACGCTCTGTTGCCCTAGCACAACAGATCCACTTAAAAAAACCGAAAAAGACTTTGCATGGTTTGGAAAGTGACTGGGAAATGATTGAAAAGTGCAGAATGAACAAATGATTATTGGGAAGACATGTAAGCGTCCTGCAAGCAAATTGGGATGGATACAAGACAAATCCTAATGGTTGTTTAACCACCCCATAAGCAAATTGGATTGGATGCTCAGTAAGGACCATCCATAATCTAACCAATGTGTAAGCAAATTAGAATGCTGAATAAATAGGTTGTCTGGAGGAGCTTAGTTGGAGAAACAAGAACTTCTGAATCTTCAGGATAAAGACCTCAGCCACACACTTGCGCTGGTCAGAGATTGTACCTTTAAATCATCAAATCATCTTGCCTTTTGCTGTGGCAAACCTGCCTAGTGTGAGATTTCTGCTCCTTTCAGGTGTTTGTGCTTCTTCCCCTTTTACTTTTAGTCAGTGCTTAAAATAACATAATTGCTCTACAGGATCTCTTACAGATCCATTCTTTTGACCCCTTTCATGTAAATTTTTCTTCCCTCTACTTTTTTTGAAAGATGTGTTTTTAAATAACTGGATCAAATGCAAATTTTATCCAAGTGGTAACTGTGTTAGGGTTCATCCACCTGTACCTTTGCTCCACATTTCTAGACACAGGTCCAGGCTTTCCAGGTCCCCCCATTTTTTATTTATTTTTTACCCCAGCGCTTTCCCTGTGAAAACCCACTGTTTACTGCTGGACTGGAGCAAACAGGAATCTGCAGAAAACCTGAATTGCTGTTTGCTCCGATTCAGCGTTCCAGAGTGGGTTTTCTTGGGGGAAGCGGAGGGAGTGCTTGGACATGGACCAGGAAATCTCAGATCTGTGCCTAGAAAGCACAGAGCAGACAGTAAGTGTGGCTGAGCCCTTAGTGCAGTGGTTTTCAACCCGTGTGCCGTGGCATCCCCATTCCTATTTAATTTTGGCGTTCAGCCTTTTCTCACTTTCGTTCTTCTTCTCGCACAAACCAAACTACTGTAGATGACTAGCTGAGCAACTGCGGGGGGAGGGGGGGAGTTTGTAGGGTGAGCCGTGAGAAAATCTTACAAAAAACCAAAAAACCCAACCTGGTCCAGCTCATAGTTATCAAGGCAGTTTTATCTGTTTCCGCCCTGTTCCGATCCTAGGGGTTGGTAGAAAGCCTAGGGATTAAAAACAACACAAATTGCATTGCATGGGGTTGGACTAGATGATGTGCACTGTGCATAGGAATTTGTTCATATTTTTTTCAAAAAATAGTCTGGCCCCACACAAGGTCTGAGGGACAGTGGATTGGCCCCCTGCTGAAAAAGTTTGCCAACCCCTGAACAACGGCTGCAATCTCACCAAGAGATTCCTTCCCCACAGCTTATGGGTGGCAGCTGAGCAACCAAATAAGTTTCATAGCTGTGCAAAGAGCTGAAGGGCAGGTCTCCACCATTCAAGCCCAATGCTTGGCTACTCTGCCACATTGACGTAATATAAATATATTATTGCTATAGCTTCATCTTGAGCTGCTTTCTTGATTCATTAACACTTTTTTCGTTGTTGTTGTGTGTGTGGTGGTTTTGGGCCATGGTAACCTCAAGATTCACACTTGAAGCATAGACCTGGGAGGAGGAGGAGAATCATTAGCAAGTGGGTTTTAAGTAAGTTGAGTCTAAATACATCAGAAAAGCTTGCTAAAAATAACTAAGAAGCACGACAGATTCTTAAATCTACTTTGGTTTGTTTGAAAAGAACTCTGCTTAACTCTCATGGGAAGGCTTGTTTTTGGAAAACATGAGGAAGGGCACGTCGGCAAGATAATTTTAACATAGAACAGCTATAACATCACGATGTACTCTCAAGTCAGGGGCTATTTGTGGGTGAAGTGTATAGAGCCTAGTCTGGGCTAGGGAGGTGTGTGTATGCAATTCGGATGCACAGCATTTGCCAAGTGACAACTTTCCACAGTGTACATTTAACTGATCAGCAAATGGATTATCTCTGAGCCAAACTCGATGTTAGAAGGAAATGCTTGAGCATGTCTCCCAGTGGAAGTTCTAAAGCTGAAAAGGTATCTGTGGGAGGCTGTCAGGTTGAGCAGACGACATCAAGGGTGGTGTGCTTAGGGTGGCCATGAGTCCTGCTTTACAAAGGGCAGTTCTCTTTTTGAAGGGCTGCCAGAAAGCTCCCCTCCCCATTCCCAAACTGCCTACCAGGACTGGGAAAGGGTTTTGCCATTCCTCTTTTGGATTTCTGATGAAATGCAGAAGGGTGGCAAGGAAGTCCTTCACCACTTGGCAGGATAACTGCTTTATTTATAGGAGTATAAACCACCAACTCATAGAAAAATATGGTGGTGTGCATCCTCATCAAACTAAAACATCATTCAAATTTATAAAAGGCAGGAAATTTGTTCACTGGATATGCCCAGTGGAGTAGACGTATATCTTGGGTTTCAGTGCAGGGGTTGGTTTTTGGAAGTGGGGGAACCTACATTAGCTGTGGAAGCTCTAGGCTCAACATAGTCAAATGCCGGGCTTGTTATTTTTCTTGAGTCCTCTGAAAACCTTTTGACTTCCCTGCCATAAACCATCAGTCCCTCCACCCACATCGCTAAGGAATTGGCTCTGGCATACTTCATCAGCTTTCTTTTCCTGATTTGGGTGGAGCTTCGCCTTGCCCTACCTGCACTTTGACCTTTTTCTTTAATCATGCAAACTCAGTCCCTTTAAAAGCAGGTGCACCTGCACCCAGTTGGCAATTGACAGTAGAGGAGGTCTGGTGGAGCTGGTCTGCCACATCAAAGCCAATGGAGTGAGCTCTGCTACCCAGCCATCCCACTGCACACTTCACAGTTGTTGTATGTGTCCCTATCCAGCCACAGACCCACATAAGTCTGTGCAGGACAAGTATCTCTCATGCAAAAAGCCATGGGGAGGGAATGCTTAACCCTTCCCCTTCTGAGACTCTCCTCCCAAATGGGTCCAGAACCCTAAAGCAGCTTATGCAGGGAGTTTTAGGGGGAAATGGGTAGGGAGGGAAGTCGGAGATGGAGAGCCTTCCCCTGCTTGTTGCTGTACTTCAACTCCCATCATCCCTGACCGTTGGCTATACTTGCTGGCATTGATAGTCCAGCAACAACTGGAGGGCCAAGGGTTCCCCAGTTCTGGGTTAAGTATTTCCTTCTTCCGCTCCTTGTGTTCCGCAGCCCATTGTGGCACATGGTTGCAGTGTAACATGGAATATGCAATCCTTGGTATTTCCTTACAAGTCTTGTTTTCTTTTCTTACTTATTTGTATCCCATCTTTTCCATCATGGGACCCAAGGTGGCATGTATGTGATGCTCAGGCCCAGGCGCTGGGAGACCAGACCCAGAACTGCTTAGTTTCAGCAAGGTGCTAGCTTCATAGAATCATAGAATTGTAGAGTTGGAAGGAATCTTAACTAAAGCATCCATGGCAGATGGCCATAATAATAATAATAATAATAATAATAATAATAATAATAATAATTTATTTATTTATACCCTGCCCATCTGGCTGAGTTTCCCCAGCCACTCTGGGCGGCTTCCAATCAAGTGTTAAAAACAATACAGCATCCAACTCTTGCTGAGCCAATTGAAGCAATTGGCGGTGGAGGGAGGAGCTTCTCCAGGGTGGGAACTAGGTGGGGTTTTGGAGTGGCACAGGGTTTGCTGTGTGAGACAGTGTGCTGGATTAGATGGGCCTTTGACCTGATCCAGCAGGGCTCTTCCTATGCTCAGAGCAAAGGAGGCAAGAGATGAGGCAAGGCAGTGCAATAAGCTATTCAGACTGGAGAGTTACAGAAGTTTATGTAGATAGGGTTGCCATGCAGCCTGCAAATGTTGTGGTTTCTTTGTCCACACCACCCCCCCGCCCCGTCTCCTTCCTGTTGTGTGACACTTGCTCACTGCAGCAGCTGAGGGAGGAGTAGGGTGGAAGTGGGTGGGGGAGAGGTGCAGATGACAAGACCGGAGGAGGAACAGACTTCGCTGCATTGCTTTCCTGATACATTTGGGGGATTTAAATGTACAGGACAGATCTCTCTGGATTCTAGGCTTATAACCTTGTATGTATGAGTGAATAGCATGGTGCAAGTCACCTGACATCCTAACCCAGAAGAAAATAATCCTAGTTTCTCCTTTTTCTGTCTTACTATATTGGGGCTGAAGGAGTGGGGTACTGAGACCTGTTTTCCTTAGCCCTTTACCTCATGTACAGAGTGTACACTTAACACTCCATTTGCATTAACTATTCATCCTCTTAAAGTCTTGATTCCTAGTTTGTTAGTCCTCCCCCCACCCCACCCCCCGCTTAGAGTTTCTAGTGGGCTAAAGCAGGAAATCGAAGAGATCTGCTACAGGACAGTAACAAGAGCTTTTATTTTACAGTATTTTAATTGATTTTATTATTTGCTCCCCTAGGCAAGGGTGTGCAACAGGCTCAGAGGAGGATGGTGGGGCAGGAGAGACTATTGCTGCATCCTATTTTGCTGGTACTGATCTGTTAAATCTCCAGATTACAACCTGGCAGCTCTACCCTAGTTTTTCTTCTTGTTTACACTGGGAAGAGCTGCTCCCTGCTCCATAGAGAGAAACAAAAAACTGCTTTAGTTCTAAACTTCTTTCCAGGAGTACTGAATTGTTTGGTTAGGTATCTTTCCAGGAGTTATTCGTGCTGCTTTCCAAGAGCTGCAGTGTGAGCTTGAATGCTCTTCAGCTGAGGGATGGTGTGGAACTTTGCCTACTGATGTACATAATTTGAGAGGTGAATGTCCACTGTGGAATCCAGCTTGCCATGTTTTGTTTAGATGTGCAGTCTTCTCTCTTAGATCCAGCTTCAGGGAAACCAGCTTTTTCTAGCTGTGCATATAGGGATGCTGGGGATTCAGTTCAGTTCACATTTTAATACAAAATTCCCTCATCTGCACTTTCTGGAACATTGTGCAAAGTGAAACTCAGTTATCCTTAAAATGTTGCACTTCTCTGAATTTGTGAAGCAGTTCTCCAGCCAAGGAATGTGTCCAAAAATGCATATGCTAGGGTGCATATGCCTAGGACCCACATCCCTACGGGACCGCCTCTCCTGGTCTGCCCCGCGGAGGACCTTAAGGTCCACAAATGACAACTTTTTGGAGGTCCCAAGTCGCAAGGTGGTTGGATTGGTCTCAACTAGGGCCAGGGCCTTTTCAGTACTGGCCCTGACTTGGTGGAATGCTCTGTCACAAGAGTCTAGGGCCCTGCGGGACTTGACAGCTTTCCACAGGGGCTGCAAGACAGAGCTGTTCCACCTGGCCTTTGATTTGGACTTGGTTTGACCCTTATGTTTCCCTCCCCTTACGGTTTTGATCTATGGGCTACTTTTAAAATGAGGCTGCATTTTAAATTGGTCTTTTCCCCCCTATTATGTTTATTGTAATTTTACTGGTGTTATCTGCCCTGAGCCCGGCTCTGGCTGGGGAGGGCGGGGTATAAATAAAATTTATTATTATTATTATTATTATTATTATTATTAATGGGTGCATAAAAATGCATATGTTAGTGAAAATAATATACAAAACTGCATTGCATATGGGGAATTACTTGCAAAAATGTGTATATTGGAGAAAATTGTATACAGAAGTATGTGTATCAGAGAAATAAACAATATAATGCTGATGAGTTCTCATGAGCTTTTTAAAAACAATGCAAACTGATGTGGAAATGCGGAGAACTCCGTTTAAGATTAGAACAATTAAAAAATCTGAAATTGACAGATTTGTCCACACCCTGGTGCAGAAAACCAGCTGATTGTAAACTTCATGATATCACAGACTCACCCCAGAGACCACAAACAGCAGCAGTTTTTCATCATTTTAAAAATGAATTCCCAGTCATTCGGACTCTGCTGGGCAACAGCACGGCACAAAGGGCCTCAGCAGCAGATCTCAGTGCAGGATAATATTGGGGGGGGGGTGCTGCTTCAGATACCTGGATCCTAAGTTATTTAGGGTTTTACACATTGGCACCTTGCATTGGGCTCAGTGGTGAACCTGGTGCAGTTGTGTCGATTTGCTGTGCTTTGTTCGTTAGCTTTCTGCAGGGCATCCAACCCCCCCCCCCCCGGTCCATATCATCCTGAATTTTTCCTGTGGTTCCTCCTCCTTTTTTGGATCACAGACAAATGGAAGAATAGCATCATCTGTGCAAGTGTAAATGCCTTTAGCACTACTCATGCCTTTTTTAAAAGGTGAGGTTTTGACGTGGGCAGTGGCCTGTTCAGAAAGTGAACTCATCATAGCTCAACACAAATTCAGTATGACATTTTGGGGGTGGGGTGGGGGGTTTCCATTTGATAACTGTTGTTTGGTTTCTTTAACCTGTCTTTTAACTATTTCTAGAATGCTTTTCTGGCAAATATACATACATACATACATACACACACACACAGTACTATAACACCATCACCCTATAGCACTATTGTGCATTATATAGCATTATCAAACTATAGCAACATAATAACTTAACATTAACATTAACCCAGTATGGTGTTATAGTGTTATACTATACGTGGGAAAGTAATAATTATCTTTAATTATCTTTTAAGATAATTAAAAGATTGATAAAACTCTTCATGGGGTTTTTCAAAAAACAAAATCAAACTAAGTTTTACTCAGAGTTGACCCACAAAAATGAATGGATCTAAGTTAGTCATGCTCATTCAATTCAGTGGGTCTCCTCTGCGTTATACTAGCATTGTGTACAGCCTTCAAGAAGGTTATAAAATGGCTCTTAGAAGGGAAAAGGGTTAGAGTGAAGTTAACTGGATAAAAAATAGTTGAAAACCTACTAATGCATGTATGCACATTATTATTATTATTATTTTCAGTCTGAGCTGTTGAAAAACTTCTAAGGAGAGGGAAACGATGACATTCCACTTCTATTACTGCCAAGTGTTATAAACTGGACAGATTTGTTTTTCCAACTAGGAAATTTACAGACTTTGCTGATATTGTTAGTGACTCCATAAAACATCCCTTGGAAAGACTTTGCACTGGATTTGTAAACTGATCCATTTTTAAACACAGGGTCAGTCACCTTGTAGTTCAGATTACAGTTTACATAAATGCATTGATACCGTGAGACTGAAATACAGTAAACTAAAGGGACTCATATACTGTATTTAAAAACAGCTTAGGGATTATCCACATCTCTGTTTGTCCTTTTGCTTTCCTCTGGGAAAACCCGCGGTTTAGCAACTGGGTTTTCAACAGATTGCCTTTAGCTCCGATTTAGCACTTGAGTGGCTTTTCTGGAGGAAAGGGGCAAGGCAAAAGCAAAACCAATCATCCCGTGGCCAGAAAGCGAGCAAGTGGAAAACTTGGCCCCGTGCTTTCCAGGCATGAGACAAGCAGAAATGTGGACCAGCTCTCAGTTACAATAGGACAGAATGCTAGCATCAGGTTTCTGTTCCCACTGGGCAGGGGCTTACCAAGGGGTTGGCCGGGTTGGCCCCCACCAACAGTGCAGGTCCAGGGGTGCACAAAAACTGACATCTCAGGTATAAGTCAGCCTCCCGTGTTCCTATTGTGGATATAAACACTGTCATAGATGGTCTATTGGGGGGGGGATGCGTGATGTTGGGGAAAGAGGCCCTTTTTTAGCAGTAAACAATACATTCTCAGATTGGCCAGTGTGACGTAGCTTCTCTTGAGTGTGGTGACAGCCAACTTCTACTTTTCCCACTGCAGATGACGAATTCCAAGATGTCCCTGTGGAGCCTTGTCTCTGACATGCCTCCAGAGCTATTCAGTGGCCTCTTTGAAGAATTTCCTCGAAGCCTGCGATGCCTGCTGGGGGACTGGTTAGAAAACCAGCCTTGGTAAGTCTACAGAGGAGCATTGTTCGAAAACAGCTTTGTTTTCTCCAGACAAACTCCCAGCACTGCTATCAGTTCCCTCATCTCATCCCGCACAACTGTTCTTCATATACAGATTGAAGTGAAGACGTGTCCTTGTAGGGCTTTCCCTCTTTGCAGTTTATTATTTTATTTATTTATAGAAATATTTGTATACTGCTGTGTCATAAAAATATATCATAGTGTTTTACAACAATATAAAAACATAAAACCAGTAGTTTTACCATCAGTGACTTAACTCAGGGTAAGATGTTGCAATGTGATGTCATCCCTGTACCAGGGGTTAGGTCAGTTTTCTTAAAGAAGCTTTCCCCAACCTAGTAGCCTCCTGATCTTGTTGGACTCCCAACTCCCATTGGCTGCAGTCAGCATGGACAGTAGTCAGGGATGATGGGAGTTGTAGTCCCCATCTGGAAGTCTGGGGAAGTCTACTGAAATGGCTCTTCAGCTGCGCAAGAACATTATGCAGGTCCAGCTTCTCCAGACCTGCTCCTTTGGCCAGCAGACAAAGGCTGTGATGCTATACAGGTTTACCTAAGAGCAAGTCCCACTGAACTGAAGGGGGAGGGCTTCTTTCTTCTTTCTTTTAAAATATTTTAAATTGATTTTCAGAACAAATAACAGTTATAAAGCAACTGCAAGCAGAACAACAAAGTGCAGTACTCCAGTTCCAAAAAACATACATTGTAAAACTTTTTATAAAAGAATGGTAATGGTTTATTGAATTTTTACAGATAAATTGTAAACAGATAAGAACATTGGCAGGATTATTGTAATAACCTGCAGTTTCATAAGAGTATATATTTAAAGAAGATGAATAAATGAGCAAATTAAACTACCGTAATTTGAATATGCAGAAGATATTAAGAGTAAATTTAAGGAACCACAGAAAGAGGGGGAAGGAAGTTAAGTTTTGAAATGTCATAATGCTTGTAACATTAGTGAAATGTATAAACCTAAAAAGTATATATATATTTTTTTAAAAACCCAAAAACATGCATTATCAAAATTACATTCCTGTAAACAAAAAAAGCAGTCATTTTAGCTCCCCGTTGTACATCATCCTCCCTCATAGGTGGGCTGTTAGGTCCAGAACCTCTCCCCACAGATACATGCGATGCTGGAGGAAGGCCCAAATAACATGTTCATTTTTACATAACTGAAAAAGGAAACCACACTTTTTTCATACTGGTCCTTTTTTGACTGGGATTTACTTCAGAGTAGACAGGTATAGGCATACTGTTAGTGTTGTGTAGCCTTAGGCTGTGTACACATCATACATTTCCCTTGGAAATGAGGACCTGACAGGAATAATACTACTTGAGCCTAAAGAGGGCAATAATTGGGGGGGGTTGTTTTGTTTTTCTCATTGATTTTATTATTTACTTGGTGGTGTTCTGTATTTTTATGTTGTGAACCACCCTGAGATCTTCAGATGAAGAATGGTATACAAATTTAGATAATTGATTAATAATTTTGAGGACATTTAAAGAATCCTAGGACCCTCACAAAGCCACAATTCCCAGCACCCTTAACAAACTACAGTTCCCAGGATTCTTTGGGGGAAGCCATGTGGTTTATTATGGTGTGTACAGAGCCTCAGAGAGTTGTCCTTTCTCCAGTGGCTGGCTGTGTAGGAATGCCTTTGGCAAAAAACAAAAACTCTTCATGTTTTGTTGCTTGAGAGAAATGGGGCCTATTAGGTGATGCGGTGGCTTGGACAAAATTTTGAAAAGGAAGGAGTGGGTGGATTTGGCTGTGGAATAATGACCTACAAGTCTCCAATTCTCCTTCTCTCTTTCTCATCCTGTCCCCACTCCTGCTTGCCCCAACTATCCTGGTCTCCTCAGGGAATTCATCAACAGCTCAGACACCTTCTGTGCGGTTCTTGCTGACAGGCTCCTGTCTGCCATGGTGGAGAGACTGCAAGACCTAGCCAACAAAAACTGCCAGACTGGCCCAATGCTTCAGGTCATTGCCAATATCGAGGTATGTAGGAGACTGATGTCTGCTGAAAAAGGCCCGTGCTGGAGAGGGGCAGATCAAAACAGGGCCTTCTGCTCTGCCAATTTTATCCTCTTACGTTACCTTCTTGTCCCTTTTTGTGGACAACGCAGCAGTTTGTTATACTGGAACACCTAATGAAGGTGTGTTTTTCAAAACTTTAGGAAAGTTAGCCTTTGGTAACTTAGGAACAGGGTGGATTTGATGACTGAAAAGGATTGCTGTCTTAGGATTGCTGAATACCTCCCCAAGCAACCTCCCCCTCATGGGGGAAGGAAAGGTAAACCCACTGAAATAAATGAGCCTAACTTAGCCATTTTAGTGGGTCTGCTCTGAGCATGACTAGCATTGGATACAACCCTTTGCCAATTATGTGCTAAGTTTCCAGGCTTTTGAGAGCCAGTTTCTTAGGCAAGGTGTGACATAATAAACAATGGTGGGCTTACAGCTTGCAGTATGGGTTCACTTTTGGGGAACATGACCCACCCCAGCTTGTTGCCCCGAGTGCCCTTCCTTCCCAGGGTCACTAAGGGAGTGCTGGAGAACCTGTGGCCTTCCATCCAGATGTTGCTCTACTCCAGCTCCCTTTAGCCTCTGTCAGCTTGCCCAACAGCCAGGGATGATGGGAGTTGTAGTCCAACAACATCTATAAGGCCGCAGGTTCCCCATTCTTGTCTATACAGCAATTTCAGTCCATTCTTGTGATGGGGATAAACCATGGGACAACCTCACAGGTGGCTTGAGGCACAAGCATTAACAACATTTGTCTTCTTCCCAATAATTCTAGAATAGATACCGGAGAGAGCCGCTGCAGTTGGTGGGGCCTATAAAAAGAATCTTAGAGGGAGAGCAAGCAGCAGCCCAACAGGTAAGAGGAATGGCCAACGTGTGGCGGCTGGTCCTTTCTTTCTTTTACATCTGGGCCCTCAGGCTGAGACTCTTCTGATTGCTTGTGGCCACTGTTTTGTAGGATCACTGCAGCTTCACTGCCCAGTTTACCCTAGTTCTTCAGCATGTCACGAAGCAATAGCTATTTAGCTATTAAATATGTAGAAGATGGAAGCAGGAAGTGCCACGTCTCACTTTTGCTTCTTATAGTTTCAGAATGTGGCCCTCTTCATCCAACGCCAACGGGAAGAATTGAGGTTTATATTCAGTCTGCAGAAGCTGCAATACAGAGTGCAGGAGATTCAGGCGCTCCGGGAGAGCTTGAATCAGATGAACGGCAACGCAAGAGGTGAGGAGGTAGAGATGAACGCTGCCAAGTTGGAGGGTACACAGGGACAGGTGCCTTCTTCCACCATCACCTCACTTTGGCCACCCTCTTCTTCTCTCCCCCTGATGCCTCCCCCCACTGCTCCAGTGCCCTCATAGGCCCCACAACCCCAAAGGTTGGCTGAGCAAACTTGCCACTCTTGCATTGGGGCCAGAGATGGCTTACCTTAAAATGGCAGTTGTTCCATGCTAATGCTGCTGGCTTTCTGTGCTGTATGGGAACACCCTGGGATGCAAAGAGTCCTGGACTTGATCACTATACAGTGGTACCTCGGGTTACAGATGCTTCAGGTTACAGACTCCGCTAACCCAGAAATAGTCCCTTGGGTTAAGAACTTTGCTTCAGGATGAGAACAGAAATCGTGCGGCGGCAGCGGGAGGCCCCATTAGCTAAAGTGGTACCTCAGGTTAAGAACAGTTTCAGGTTAAGAATGGACCCCCAGAATGAATTAAGTTCTTAACCCGAGGTACCACTGTAGTCAGTCTTAATGTCACAATTGTAGAGATAAAACTGTTGAGAGGTGTGGAAGGATGCCATGGATGGGCAGTGCTGATTTTGATTTCTTACTCCCCCTTCACCATAAGGTTACCTGCAGTTTTAAAATAGAACAGTAAAAAGAGATTTAAACAAATTACTGAAGATCCTAGACACTGCAAGGGTTTCAGAGAGAGGCTTCCCTTTCTAGCTGTGCTTGCTTGACCACAAAATTCACCAGATCTTCTTTTGTGGCAAGGTTTGCTACCCTTTCAACCTGTATGAAATCAAGGACTTATTGTGAAAAAAAATTATTGGCATCCATCTGTCTCCAGAGACAGTGGAAGAGTGCAACTTCAGGGGCCAAGTCAAACTGTTGGGAGGTTACAGAGCCTACTGTGGCTGTAGAGACCAATACGGGAGTGACACGTTTTGTTGCAGCTGGGGCAGATGAAAGCATCAGGTTTCGCCGTTACAGGTGCACCGTGGCGTTTCTTCTCTCTGCTCTCCTCTCAGCAGCCATTCCTCCCCTGGTCACTGCTGTCTGTCTCCAGGCCCTGTGATCATCTGTGAACAAATATAATACTGGCTATCAAATAATACCACATTATTTTAGATTATTAAATATATATAGAGAGTACAGGGCACAATTGTTGAGCAGTAACCATAGCTCCTAGTTAGGGAATTGGTGTGGGTTTTTTGGTCAGTATGGAGATAGCAAGCAAAATTCCAATATAATTAGATTTCTGTAAAATATATCTCATGATGCTTTTTGCTGACCTGCACAAGCCTTTCCCTGCCACAAAGGTATATTTTTGAAACAGAATGTAATTCTGAACCTCATCATGCACCCACACATTTTTCTGCTTGCCCAGCAGAAAACTGCTACGCTTTGCCCACAGAGTATTAGGAACAGGAAGTTGCTGGGCAGAGCAATCATATATGCCAGTTATGCTGGGGGAAGGGAGTAAGTCCTTGCCTTGTCCTTCTGTGATAACTTAACTTAGGCCTGAAGTTCTTCTGCAGACGCTAATCATGATTTTACGGTCTTCAGTTCCTTTGCAGCTGAACCTGCAATTTTCACCCCAGGAGAACCTGCAAGAAAGTGTGAGTAACCCATTCATGATGGTGGTCCATTCATTCTGCAGACACCATTCTTGTTTGATGAATGGATTTTGTTTAAAAGATTTATATCTTTCCATCACCTAGATTGGGGAGAAGGAACCTGTGGCCCTTCATAAGAAGTGAGCCACAGGAGTACTTTGCCATGGAAGTCATGGGCTGCACACTGCCTTGTCACACGGCGCAGGGAGGAGCGAGGCCAAAATTTGATGCCCCCTCCATCATTCACACAGCCTTCCCAAAGCTGGCTAAGTGAGGTGCCAGGCTTTGGGAAGAAGGCATGAGGCTCTGGCAAGGTCCTAGAGTCCTCCCATCTCCTTCCCCAAGCTGGGAAAATGCTAAGTAGGCTTTGGGAAGAACCGGGAAGCCTCTGGGACCCTGTCAGAGCGCTCACTCCTCCTTCCCAAAGCCCAGCTGAGGAAGAGGAGTCAAATGTTGCTGAGAGCCTCCAAAAAAGGTTTCAGTGGCCGCATGCAGCCCTTTGGGCCACGCCCTAAACCACCTTGATTTAACCCCTGGACACACAACATGCAAACAGATTGGTGCCGAATCATTTACTTATTTATATCCCTCCTTTTAGGATACAGGTCCTGTGAAGGTGACAAGTAACTTTCAGATACATTCTTTAAAGCCACAATAAAGGATACCATCATACCATAAGTCACCAGGACTCTCCCCACAGGGCAGTTGGTGGCAGATGGCTCTGTGGTTGGGGGAAGTAGTCTACTGGGAACACACTCCAAGATCTTTTTTGCCTGGTTCCCTTTCTTTGAGACCACCACCCTGTTGTGTGGCACATCTGATTTATGCCTCAACAGCATTTGTTGTCTTCTTCATGCCTACCAACCTATTTGTCTCTTGTTTCAGTCTCTCCAAAATCTTCAGAATCTGTTCCTGAAAACAGCTAATGAACTAGAAGGTGCAAAGAAAATGGTGCTGATGAGACTTATGATCTGGAAGAGGCAGCAACAGCTGGCTGGGAATGGAACTCCCTTTGATGAGGACTTGGCTCCACTCCAGAAAAGGTGAGTAGTGCAGGGAGAACTTAGTTAGTGCATAACTTCATTTGGGGAACTACTATTTTGGCACTGTTGGGAGTTTCTTCCAACTCAGGTTGCAAAGCCAGTCATATTGTTAGTGCTGATGGCGAGGAAGCTTGAGGTCTAAATGTGCCTATGGCCCTTTCGTGCTGCTTAAACAAACCCCTAAGATATAAAAGGGGCAAAGCAATCTCCCTTGTTGGACCAGTCTGTGTCCAGACGAGCCTGGTATGTAGTTGTTGTGTTCTAAATTATTTTTACACCATATGCAGGACTGTGTATGTCCTGTGGCTAGAGCAAAGCAGTCACAAGTGCTAGAAATGTACGTGTGTGAGCCTTAAAAGAAAAGTTCTGACACTCCAGAGGATGAATTCCTCACCTAGTACCACGCTGCATACTCCCACAAAAATTGCAGCATCCCGCAAACATGCAGCCCTGCCTAAACACTGCAACTATACATATAGCCAGAAAAGCCCTTGTCTGGACCCTTGCTGATCAACTTGGATGTTTCTCTAACCCTCGGGTCCCCAGAACTAAATGCATCCCTCCAGGCCTCTCTGTCTGGCCTCTGGAATTTGCCTCAGGTCACTCCCAAATCTCCTCCAGCCACACTCCTCACTGGGCCTCCTTTGCCCCTCAGATATCTTTGCCTGGCTGGAATGTGCCCTTGAACTCCAATCATGCTTCTTACTTGTCTGACGAGGGGTGTTGAAGTGTATGTAGAACACTAGCCCACTCTACAAAGTTAAAATTCATTGCTCCACCCACTTTTGTCTCTGTTCCTTCCCACGACCGGCATGTGGCCCCCAGAAGGGAATGTGGCCCTCAACCTGTGGCTACCCCTGCTTTAACCTTTTGATAGGCTTAAAGGCAGGGACACTGTTGCCGGTTGGTGTGAGGGTGACTGCAGCACCTTTTTGTCCAGTCTGTTCGGTTCTTAAAGCTTGTGTAATCTTGGAGTTGTTGTGGGATTTTGGTTGGTGGCAGGGGAAATTAACCCTCACCTGGTGTGTTTCCTGGCAGATTTGAAAGCCTGGTGGACATTTGCTTCCAGCTCCGCCTGCAGTTGGTAGCCTCTGAAACTGAGCTGAGCTCTGAGCTTCAGGAACGTCTGGATAATGTCTTTAGTTCCCTCGTCAAAAAGTAAGGAGAATCTCTGCCAGAAGCACCAAGGTCATAGATCTGAAGAGAATCAGAAGAGCACTGAGAGCAATTGCTTGCCCCCTGCCCACATACCCTCATCTCAAAGATTGGCTTTCCCCTTACCAATTCCCAACAGGTTAAACAACGCAGCGTATGGTCACATCCACACAATACATTTAAAGCACAAGGCGTCCCTCAAAGAATCCTGGGAATTCTGGTTTGTTAAAGTGCTGGGAATTGTAGCTCTGTGAGAGTTAAACTACAGTCCCCAAGATTCACGGAATTTCGATTTCCAGAGTGGTTTAACAACCAGTCCCTCTTTACAGGGAACTCTAGGAATTGTAACTTTACAACACCTCACAGCACCCTTAACAAACTACAGCTCCCAGAATTCTTTGGGGGAAGCCCTGACCATCTAAAATGCTGTCATAGTGCTTTAGGTGTATGATGTGGATGTGGCCTCAATGTAAATGTGGAATAACTGTTGCTGCCTCCTGGAGACTGGGACAGGACTCTTCAGATAAGTCCTTTCAGCCTTGAGATCTGTGCTTCCACCATTTTCTCCTCATTCCTCTTCCCCATCACTGCCATTTAAACGCTACCCTTGGGTCTCCATACATTTGCCAGCAGAATTTAGTTTTAAAGAAGGGCTGCTTTGCGGGGGTGGAGAGTTGCAGGCCACTCACACCAAGGTAGGCTACTGGCAAGTCCATTGCCACAGCCATAACATTCCTCCATAAATCACTCTTGTCTCTGTGCTGACAACTGGGGAAAGACGGATTGGTCCTACTCTAGGGGCTAGTTTTGTCCCTGGAGCCTTCAGTTGCTGATTCTTCCTTTAGATCCATGTTTTCTGTCCATCATACTGACTGGGGAGCAGGGAGAATGATGAGGCTTACTGCAGCAGGGCTAATAGCCAATCCTTCTCACTGCTCCCTGGCTCTCTGACCACTGCTTATGTCTCCCCTTCAGCTCATTCCTGGTGGACAAACAGCCCTTACAAGTTCTGAAGACCCAAACCAAATTTCAAGCCACCACACGCTTCCTGCTGGGCCCACAGCTGCTGAAGTCTCCACACTCCTTCACGGTCACCGCTGACATTGTGACAGAGAAACAGGCACGGGAGCTAGCTACTAGCCACCTGGAGACTGTCCTCAGGTGAGCAGAACCCTTGCAGCTGAACATGCCACTCTCCCTGTTGCTTTATTTCTCGGTTTTAGCAACGTTTTGAGGTTTTGAATACTAGGCGCAGCAAAGAGGTCTGATTGCCCTTTTGAACAAATGTCTTTCCCAAGGTGAATCTGACATATTCTAGAGCGGAGATAGAAGACAAGAGACATGGTGAGCCATTCTAGGGGAGGCATTTCAGTTAAAACAATCCTGCAAGACTTTCTGCCCCTGACTCCCCCCCCCCCCGACTTACTCCGTTCTGTGTCTGACATATTCCGAAGTCCCATTTCTGAGCATCAGTGGGGAGAACCCTCTTCATCAGCATCAGGAAATATTTGCAAAACCTCCCCCATAGCTCCTAGAGGAGTTCTAGGGCGAGAGTTCACTGAACAGGCTTATATCTAGTGGTGCTTCCACATTGCAGGGGCCCTTCACTACAAAGAGTTCCTGAAGGGTTGCAAGCAGAGCCGTCTTTCCCATTGGTCTTAGTGGTTCATCACGCCCAGGCGCTGGCCTCTCAGGGATGCCCCAGCGAGTGGGGGAGCTGTGTGGCTTTGCCGGTGGTCTCACCTTTCCCTGCACGCCCGCCAGCTGCGCCCCGCCAACTACAGTGGTGCCTCGCAAGACGAAATTAATCCGTTCCGCGAGTCTCTTCGTCTTGCGGTTTTTTCATCTTGCGAAGCACGGCTATTAGCGGCTTAGCGGCTATTAGCGGCTTAGCGGCTATTAACGGCTTAGCGGCTATTAACGGCTTAGCGGCTTTAAGAAAAGGAAACAAACTCGCAAGAACTCGCAAGACGTTTCGTCTTGCGAAGCAAGCCCATAGGGAAATTCGTCTTGCGGAACGACTCAAAAAACGGAAAACTCTTTCGTCTAGCGAGTTTCTCGTCTTGCGAGGCATTCGTCTTGCGGGGCAGCACTGTATATGGCTGGCGGGCGTGTAGCTTCCTTCCCAAGTCTCTGCAGGAGGAGACCTATCCCCGCAGAGGCTTAGGATGGAAGCCTCTGCATCTGCTAAAGACGGCTCTGCTCCCGGTTGTTGTCCTCCTCCTGCTTCCTGGCAAAAGGCGGCGCACAGCCTTCCTGGGCTGCCTTCTCAGGTGCCCCGACGCTGGAGAGCATGTCCGTCAGCACGTTTTCCTGCTTGATCGCTACCATGCCAGGGATCGGGGCGGTGGGGGAGGCAGAGGACATTTTTCACGGGCTCCTCCCTTGTTTTGGAGTTGGGTGGTGTGGGTTTGTGGGATAGCGATTCCACAGAAAGCAAAGCTCTCGGTCACCTTTATTACATTTGTTGGTCTGATTCCAAGATCAGATTGTGGTTTCATGGAAGTCACTCTGAAAATGTTGTTTTTCGCCTGATACACCCACAATTATTAACCCCTGGCTCAGAATGGAAGTACATAACTCATGTGCACTTTCTCTTTTTTGGTTTCAGTGAAAACACTGGAGAAATTCAGAACAACACAGCACCTCTGGAGACAAATGCAACAAGCAATGCCTGCTGTGCTCTCTTTAAGAATATGGTAACTACAGCAGTGGAGTGTGTGTGTGTGTGTGTGTGTGTGTGTGGATACATTTGAATGCTTGCGATGGGAGGAGGAGAAACCACTGGTGACGTTTGGCCTCCCGAGCCATTTAGGATCATCCTGCTCACATGTAGGACCCTGGCAGAGACACATGCCTGACTGGCATGTTCTCTCCCTCTTGGTCGTTTGTTCGAGAGCTTCAAAAGCTTTCTTCAGCCCGAACATCACAGCGATTGATACCAAGAAGTATCAGCACACTTAGGGATCCTGTAGAGTGTTAGCGGTTCACGTAACAAACTCAGTAGCACGGCATTTTGGCTAATCTACTTTGTTTACATATAATACACTTGGAGCGTTCTGACTTAGCTCCTTCATCTTTCTCATCAGACAGCAAAGAGAAAGAACAAAGAACAATAGTCCCACTTCACAGAACACAGTAATACAAAACTTCCTGTCTCCGTCACTTCCACTATGTGGGATGAAAACATACACCATCATGTGATAGAAAACAATCCCATGACTGCAAGCACGGAGCAAGAATCCTAACAGAGCCTCCCTCACAAGTTGGTGCTTCTCCCCTAGGTTGTATGTTTGGGAGAAAGCTGCTTTGAGACTTTATACCTGACTCTGGATAATTTTGTTTGTACAGTTGTACCTTGTAGGTCGGAACAGAATCTGTTCCAGAAGTCCATTCGACTTCCAAAATGTTTGAAAACCAAATCGTGATTTCTGATTGGCTGCAGGAAGTTCCTGCAGCCAATCAGAAGCCGCGGAAGCCCTGTTGGATGTTCAGGTTCCAAAAGAACGTTCACAAACTGGAACAATCACTTCTGGGTTTGCCACGTTCGGGAGCCAAAATGTCCGAGTTCCAGGGCATTTGACGACCAAAGTATGACTGTATGTTATACATACCCTACTTGCCTTCAGAAACCATAAATTGGCTTATGAAGATATCTCTAAAGCAATCTTCCGTCCAGGCCTTGAGCAGACTGCATCACACACACAGAGTTTTAGAATTGTCACAGCATTGTGTGCCTTCAAACCATTAACTGGGATTGCATAGCTTTGGGTGGGGGGGAGGAACCTGCGGCTCTCCAGCTCCCATCAGCCCCCAGCCAGAATGGCCAACAGTCAGGGATGGTGGGAGTGTAATCTGGCAGCATCTGGAGGGGCACAAGTCCACTGCCAATGCTCTAAGGCTGAGAACCTGGCATATGCCGCAGACACCTGCAGCAGGATGGGATGACCAAGTTATGAGATGATAGGAATAGGCTGCTCCATTTCAGATTGCAGGGGAAGAATATTTTTCCACTAAAAAAAATTAAAATACTTGCTTCAAGAAGAAAATTGGCACAGCAGGGAGAAAAGTTCTAGCTAAATCCTTGCCATTCTGTGCTAGTTTTCTTTTTCTTTTTACTGATTTTGATATACATAAATCAAAATGCAAAACTTAAAACGAAAAAAAGAAAATACAAAAACTCTGTGCTAGTTTTCTACTTATAGGGAGTATTTAAAAAGAAGAAGGGCAGCTTCCTATATTCTGAAGTAAGGCACTCTGATCTTCCATGTCAGAACGGTACTTCCCCATTTTGTCCTTGTTCTTCTCTGTGTTTAGATGTAGCTGTAGATTCTAGTCTCTGAATTTGGACTCTATGAACAACTGGACCACTGTGGCTTCATGATTCACGGTGGCTGTTGGATCAGAAACAGATAAAAAGGAGGCTGAAGTATGGAGTAGAACTTCCCCAAGCAGTAGCTGAAGTTGTTACTTTGACCCCACAACATTTGTGACAGTTTCTAGGTTAGCCAGGTGTGATTTTGCCTTTCTCTTCCTTCAGCTCCTAAAGAAGATCAAGCGCTGTGACCGCAAGAGCACCGAGTCTGTGACCGAAGAGAAGTGCGCTATCCTCTTCAGTGCCAGTGTTAGCCTTGGTCCCAACAAAACCATCTTCCGCCTGCAGGTAACAGCCCTACAGCTTAGGTTTATCTCATTATTTGAGAGCCAGTGTGCTGTAGTGGTTAAGAGCGGTAGTCTCGTAATCTGGGGAACCGGGTTCGATTCCCCGCTCCTCCACATGCAGCTGCTGGGTGACTTTGGGCTAGTCACACTTCTTTGAAGTCTCTCAACCTCACTCACCTCACAGAGTGTTTGTTGTCGGGGAGGAAGGGAAAGGAGAATGTTAGCTGCTTTGAGACTCCTTCGGGTAGTGATAAAGCGGGATATCAAATCCAAACTACTACTGCTTATTTGGCTTGCAGATTGTGGCCTGTTGGTGATTTTGTTGCTGGAAGGGCACAAATGGATTCCACAGAGGCTCCAGGGATGACCCACTTCCTAAGTCTCAACAGGCTGTTCTGCATGGTAGACATGAAGCCCCAATCCCGCCCAACCAAGGTGGCCTTGGTGGAAATGTTGAAACCCCCCAAAACTACAGCCTGGGCCTTTTTTAATACCACCTCCAAGCCTGCCCAGTTGCCTCAGGCAGGTATGGAAAGAAAAGTTAGGGGTGTCCTTGCACATCTTTGCTGCTCCCCCTCCAGCTGTGGATAGGAGCTGTCACCATCTCAGCCATCCCCTGAGGGGAAGGATCTCTCCACCACCTCAGAACCAGATCATGGAACAAGCTGTAAAGGCCCCCAGGAAGCGCACCACTGGTCGCATCCTGAGCTTCTCACCCACAGCCACTGCCTGGAATGAGTGGGGCACTATGGCCTCTCCCCCCCCCCCATGCCATCTTCAGTGTGCCAGGGCTTCCCCAGGCTGCCTCCAGTCTGGTGTTGTGGGGAGGGCCACCATTTTCTGTTTTGCCTCAAGTGGCAAAATGTCTTGGGCCAGCCCTGTATGGGAGGCAATTTCAGATGAGCTGAGGGAGCTGTGGGCAGCAATAGTTTTCTTGAAAATCTTGTAAATAAATCTTTAATGAGCCCCACATCTGAATTATACTACTAGATAGCCCAGTTTCAGGTACCTGGGGAAGGAAAAGTGTTACTCCTTTTCCTCCTCCCTCCTGAAGCCAACTCTATATTACACACCTCATTTTCCACTTAAACAGGAGCACTCCTGTTAGGGACTTGGGGATACAGTGCAACATTTTGTTGCAGGTCACCGCTTTTGGTTTCTAGAATTGGAAATTCTTCGTTTTCGGCAGTGAATTTGGAGAGGGCTGTAACTCAAGGGAAGGGCTGTGGCTCAGTGGTAGAGCATTGCTTGGCATGCAGAAGGTTCCAGGCTCCATCCCCATCATCTCCAGGTAGGGCTGGGGGAGCTCCCTGCCTGAGACCCTAGAGAGCCAGTCAGTCCACTGGGCAAGATGGACCAATGGTCTGAGTCTGTCTAAGGCAGCTTCTTGTGCTCCTGTGAGAGATACGAGGGGCAGGGAGAGGGCTCTGGCTGTAAAGAAAGCAACCCCCCTGCTAAAGTGTGCTTCCTCTTTCTACTTCTTGTGTTCCAGGCTCTGTCACTTCCCATTGTGGTGATCGTCCATGGCAACCAGGAGAACAATGCCAAAGCCACCATCTTATGGGACAATGCCTTTGCCGCTGCTGTAAGTGATTGACATAAGCTGACATATAAAGTTGTCTGTGTCCCCAAGGTGTAGAAGCACTTGTTGTTGGGGCAGAATTGAAGAGTACGGTGTGACATCAAGTGAAATGGATAGTTCAGCTGGTAGAGCACGAGACTCTTAATCTCAGGATTGTGGGTTTGAGCCCCGGTTTGGACAGAGATTCCTGCATTTCAGGGGGTTGGACTAGATTAGGGTTTCCCAAACCTGGGTCTCCAGCTATTTTTTTGACTACAACTCCCATCATCCCTAGGTAACAGGACCAGTGGTCAGGGATGATGGGAATTGTAGTCCAAAAGCAGCTAGAGACACAAGTTTGGGAAACTTTGCACTAGATGAACCTCATGGTCCTTTCCAACTCTACAATTCTGTTATTCCATTATTAGTTGCACCTGAACAAGGAGATGCCCAACACCTGGCTTTTTCAAAGTGAAGAGGTTTGGTAACAGCACAATGTGTTTGCGTTTTCAGATGGGAGGGGGCACTAGGATGAAACCAAAACCAAAGCAAAATGCTTCTCATGTTATGGCAGTGATTTGGGACCCACTGCTGCACCACTGCTGTCCATGCTACTGAAGCAGCATGAAGCGCTCTGCATCACAGGCTGTGACTCCTCCCCATGCCAGCATTATCCCAGCTTCTGGGAGGGTGATCTGTAGTGTGCATGGACTTCTTCCACATGACCCATAGCTTCTCACATTAAGGACAAAAGAAGAACCCCGCTGGTTCAGACCGAAGACCCATCTTGTTCAGCACTCTGGTCTGCCTATGAGAAGATCATAAGCAGGACCTCACTGCAGAAAAACTCTCCCCACTTGTGATTCACATCAACTGGTATTCACAGGCAGAGGCATACCTAGGCTCCCTTGCACCCTCGGCAAGGAGATGTATTGTGGGAATATTGTGGGTAACAGGAGAGGATGTATTGATTAATATAATCCTTCCTAACTTGCACTAACAAGTTTCTTTATACAGCAGAATGCATTCCCCCTTTACACAGCAAGAAGCTGGTTGCAGACTCGTGTGAGTCATAAGCAATTCAATCTGGCTTGCCCTGATTGGATATGTTACTGGTATGATCCCTTGAATCCCTCCTAAAAGACTAAAGACACAACAGTCTTATTCATAAGTAACAAAAAGTAGTTTTACCCACGATCAGGCAGAGCACAGTGTGATCCCTGAAAGCAGGCTTTAGGCTTAAAGTTACAAATATGTACAGATAGGTTTACCCCATATGGGAGATAACCTGTGCAGTCGGAAGTGAAGCAGGCAGGACGGGAAAAAAGGGAGGTGGCTACACGACTTGGCCTTTCACCAGGTCTGGGAAGGTCACGCCCACCTACTAGTCACATGCAAAAGGAAGGATGCTCCAGCCAGGTGTAACAGGAAGTTCAACTGGCTTGACCAACATTCCCCATGCATGTTCACTCTAGGCAAACAGGAAATGTTGTACTTGACTGCTTCAGAGGATTATATCTCACATATACCGGAGTGGAGGTCTGATATTTGGGGAGGGGGGGGGCTGGGGCCTGTGTCTTTGGTGGAGGCTAACCTAGCCACCTCCTAGGTGCACTTCTGTTCAGAGGCCCACCGCCTCTGATCCTAGAGGGAACATGTAGCCATCATGACTAGTAACCATCGATAGCCCTCTCTTCCTCCATGAATTTGTCTAATCCTCTTGTAAAGACATCCAAGTGAGAGAGAATTCCATAGTTCAGTTATGTGAGGACTTTCTTTTACCTGCCCCAAATCTTCCTGCATTCAGCTTTATTGGATGTCCCCACCTCTCAATATGATGAGAGAGGGAGAAAAACTTCATTCCAGGCCAGTAATGTAACATGGAAGCCTAGTCCTGCCCCCATGGGTGCAAAGTGAGTGAGAATATTGGCTATGCAGGGGGAGCTTGTAGGTAGGACATAACAGAGTCTGTTCTTAGAGTCTTGGGCTACTCCTTTGCTGTTATTTTGTGTGCCGTTGCCATTGTGAGGTGGGCGGGGAAGACCAAAGAGTGGGAGAGATTATGAATGTGCATTCTCCTCCTGCTGCTGCTTCCGGTGGTTTGTTCTCTCTGTGTGTGTTTCTGCATAGCTGTGAGGTTCTGTCTCTCTGGCCTATTCCAGAATCGCATCCCTTTCATGGTAGCCGAGCGTGTCAGCTGGGAGTCCATGTGTGAGACTCTCAACCAGAAGTTCATGGCTGAGGTGGAGACAACTAAAGGGCTGCTCAAGGAGCACTACTACTTCTTGGCTCAGAAGATCTTTGGTGACAGCAACGCCAGTCCTGAGGAATTCCAGAAGCGCCAAGTCTCGTGGTCCCAGTTCAATAAGGTCCCTCAGTGGGTTTTGTAAGGAGGGTGGGATGGCGGTGAGTGGGGCCTCCCTGGTTCCCTTCCTTCCTTTACTCACGCACCTTTTCCATTTACAGGAGATTCTTCCTGGCCGAGGATTCACCTTCTGGCAGTGGTTTGATGGGATTCTCTACCTCACCAAGAAGCACTTGAAGGATTACTGGTCTGACCGGTAAGAAAGCAACTGGACTGAGCCACTGTGTGGTGTAATTAGCCAGTAAAAGTGTTGGACTAGGCCTGAGGTGACCTTGGGCCGGTCACTATCTCTCAGCTTAGCTTACCTCACAGGGCTGTTAAGAAGATGAGGGGGAGGGTCCTCCAGGGTGTTAGGAGAGGGTCTGTGGCACCACTTCTTAACAAGTGGTCCCTAAGCTGAAAGTCAGTCAGTCACAGCTGGTGTTTCCTTCCCTTTCGCAGAGCTGAGGAAACTCACAGGCCTCAAGGTCAGCAGGGGTCTTCTGACTGGGGTGTTTCCAGGTGATCTGTTTGTTCAGCATTCACCCTGATTCATTTGCAGGGAGATTAGACAACACTGACTTTGTACTGAGCAGTCATTCTGATTCGCTTGTGGGGAGATTAGATGACATTTCATCAAAGCAAGTGATATTCCACACTTTCCAGTGCTTCCCCCCTCCCATCATTTTTTCTTATCACAAAAAGGCTGATCTTTTAAATCCCTATCCCCCCACCCTTCTTTCTCTCTTTGTGTCCATCTGTCCCACACAGACTCATCATGGGCTTTATCAGCAAGCAGTATGTTTTCAGTTGCCTGAGCAATGCTCCAGCCGGCACTTTCCTGCTGCGCTTCAGTGACTCCGAGATTGGTGGCATTAGCATTGCCTACGTCACATACGCTCCAGACGGTACGGCTTCGCGTAGGGCAGCAGGGCTGGCTTGCTCTTGCCTCACCTAGAGCAGTAGGGGATTGTTGGGGGGGTTGATTCACTTTGCATTTATAAACGGGCCTATCTAATTTGCACTTTCTGAAACAAAAACAGCAACAAACTGAAGCACAACCGTCTTTCGCAAATCACACTTCTCTGAATTTTGCAATATAGTTCTCCAACCACAAAATGTGCCCACCATGGCAACATGTGTATAAATGCATATATGAGTGAAAACAGCATACAACAAAGTATTACATAAAGGGAAATTGTTTTGAAAAAAAATGTGCATTCAACAAAATAGCATACAAATATTATATTGCAAGAAATGAGCACTAACATGCTGCTAAATTTTCATGAGGACTTAAAAAATACACACAAGCTGATGTGGAAATACAAAGAGCTGAACTTAATGAACTGGAAAAATGAGGAAGTGAAAGAAACCCAAACTGACAGATTTGCTCCTCCCTAAGGATCCCCTGTCTAAGCCCCCAGCCCTGAGTCAGAGGGGTTTGTTTTGTTTTTAAAATCACCTTGGCTGCAAGCCTGTTCATCTTTACTTAGGAGTGAGACCCACTGAGCCAATTAGGTCTTCCATATGAGTCAATATGATGGGCTCACGCTGTTTGTCTGCCAGTGCTTTAGAAACTAGCATTCTCCCTTGCTGTTCTGGTTTGGAAATGGATTGGTAGGCAAGAACATATGCCTTCAGCCCTGGTTCTGATTTGGGCAGGGGTCCGAAGGCATTCTAGCTTTCTGCCAGTCAGCTTTCAGTTGTGGGCTTTCTCCTGTGCTGATTTCTGACCTGTCCTCACAGTGTTAAGACAGGACTGGTGTCAGAACCAGGCTGGGGAATTTGACGCCCTTCGGACGTAATAGAACTCCAGTTCCCATCAGCCCTGGGCAGCATGGCCAATGGTCAGGCATGGTGGGAGCTGGAGCCCAGCAACATGTGGAGAGCCACAGGTCTGTGTTACAAGTGCTGCATTAACTGAGAGCAGGTTGCTTACAGGAGCACAAGGTCAGCATGAATATAGCATGTTGCTCTGTTTAGAATCAGCCCATTCAGCCTTGTATGGTTTTATTCCCAGCTCTGCTATCTGAAATCTTTTAAAGATGCCAGAAATTAAACTTGAGACCTTATGCATGCAAAGCGAATACTCGTCCCTTACAGCAGTCCCTGTCCCCCAACACCCAGCAGAGGCTGGCCAGTTATCTGTGGCTGGAAATGAAATGGTGTGAGGAATAGAGGTTATGTGTGCTTTCTCTAGCTTTGTTTTTATAAGAAAATAATAACAATAGCAATAATAATTTTATTTATTGTACTCCACCCATCTGACTAGGTTGCCCCAGCTACTCTGGGCAGCTTCCAGCAAAAATACAAATAAAACAAAAAACATCAAACATTAAAAGCTTCATAAGAATTGCCTACTGGATCAGGCCAATGGCCCATCTAGTCCAGCATCCTATTCTCACAGTGGCCAACTAGATGCCTGGGGGAAACCCACCAGCAGAATTTCAGCACAGGATCTCTCTCCCATCCTGTGGTTTCCTGCAACTGGCATTCAGAAGCATTTCTGCCTCCAGCTGCGGAAGGAATTGCCAAGGGGAATGAGCTAGTGAGTTTGTACCACATCCGGGGTACGGCCACTACTGGGGCTTCACTTCCTGGTTTGTGGTGTGTCCTTTATTAAAGAGGAAGCTGCTTCCCTCTGAACTCTGCAGCATTTGAACAAACATCTCAAGGAGTACTAGGTTTCCTCTTGCTGAAGGGCTGGGGAAGAGTGGCTCCATCTTTAAGGGGTAGGTTGCAGTATAGTGTAGTGGTTAAGAGCAGTAGACTCGTAATCTGGGGAACCGGGTTCGCGTCTCCGCTCCTCCACATGCAGCTGCTGGGTGACCTTGGGCTAGTCACACTTCTTTGAAGTCTCTCAGCCCCACTCAACTCACAGAGTGTTTGTTGTGGGGGAGGAAGGGAAAGGAGAATGTTAGCCGCTTTGAGACTCCTTCGGGTAGTGATAAAGCAGGATATAAAATCCAAACTCTTCTACTTCTTCTTCTTCCCTCCCTCCAGCTCTCCTCATGAGGAGCTTACAGTGTGACACCACAGGAAAAAACACGGAGGGCTTGTGGAAGCTGCTCTTACCCAGCCTAGATTCAGCCAGGGGCCCTCTTTCTGTGGCGTGGGTGAAAGAACTCAGGGCTGGGGGCTAAATGTTCCTCTGTATCAGGCCCTTGGGACTCTTTGTAGGCCAACCCTACTCCTTGCCCTCCTTGAGTGCTTTTGCCTGGCTGGAATGTGTCCTTGACCTGATATACTTTTGCTTGCTAGGATGGAGAAATTTGGGTGTGGAAACCTCTGTGTGGCTGGAGAAAATATTTGCAGCCTCATGTGCAGAGATAATATTTGCATTCATAGCTCCACCTGCTTTCCCTCTGGCCCCTGAGTTTAACCCCACTCAGTGGACCAGAATGTGGTCTAAACCCCACTTTAAATCCATATCAAAAAGAAAAGAACTCACTCTGAAAATCACCTACAGGTAGTACCTAATACCAAGAAAACTAGCACTAATATGCCCAGGAACCTCACCAAAATGGTGGAGAGGGTGTACCTCCACAGGCACATACCTCCACATGTGGTGGGAGTGTCCCAAAATCCAACTATTCTGAACAACAGCCATACGAGAAGTATGTAAAATAACCAAGCAAGTATTAGAAATCACCCCAAAATTGTCCCTACTAAACATCTTCCAAGACAACCTACACCCACTTACACCACAAAGAACTCATAACCCACCCACCTCATAACCTCAGCAGCCAGAAACATAACCAGACACTGGAAAGACCTGTCAGGAATAAGCATGGACCAATGGTACCAAATAGTATGGGAAACAGCCTTACTAGGAAAAATTAACCAATAAACTGAAACTGACACGGGGACATATAGAAGAAGATGCCTTCACCCCAGTATGGCTCCCCTTTATCACACACACAGCCCAACAAGACAATGACAAAAATCCACCAACAGCATACAAATCAATATGGCTAACCTGATCCAAAACACCCACCCACCCCACTCACACATGAAAACAAAGACCACCACAGCCAACCACAAATGAACAGCCACACCCTGGGCCAACCCCAACCTCTTTCACCACCAAAGGAACATAAGTGAACAGCAGAGAACCTGCACAAGCAATGCTGACACATAACCCCACATATATTAAGTAAAATAGAAACATCACCACCCCACCCCCACCCATCTTTCCCCCCTCCACCTCTTTCCCCCTATTCTTACTAATGTCTCAACAATTGAAACCAATTTGTAAAAAAAAAAAAAAAAAGTTACATGGCGAAAAAATATGAGAGACATTGCACATACCTTTGTAAATTAAGAAAATCTTTAATAAAGATACATTAAAAAAATAAAAGCAAGAGGAGGGGAAAAGAAAAATAATAATTTAAATATGTGCTTTATACTAAATAAATAAATAAACAAACAAACTAAAGAGATAAAATGCCCCTGCTGCTATAAGAAATGACAGGTATCAGAAATTACCTCGCCAAGGCCCAAGGGGTGAGGAGCAGTGGAATACAGCTGTATTTTTGTAGGAGCTCTGACCAAGAAGAAGGAATGGAGCTTCTGTGCTTCCAAGCTTGCACCAAGGCATAAAAAACCCCTTTAGGTCTGTGGTCCGAATCCAACACTTGAGAGTGTAGGTACGTAGTTGGAGCTCAAATTGCCCTCATTTCTGTCTAAACCCAGCTGTTAATATGTTTTGCTCTCACCAAATTCATGTAAAAGGGAGGGTTTCGGAGTAAGAGGAGATTCTGTGCCGAATTGGAGACACTTTGGGAAAGAGACTAGTTCTGCTGTCTGAAACTGTAGAACTTCCTGCTACGTGTGAGGGACATTTGCCAAGGAAGTAAGATAACAGTTCTTGTCCTGGGAAGCTGCTAAATGCATTCATTTGTTTAATGCAAAGTACATGGTCAAAAATGCATGTCACATTAAGTGAGTGAAACACAGAACGGGTCAGAAAGTGGAGGAGATGCAGTCCAGTCAGAGGTGGGTTTAGGGCAGCGCGGCTGGTTCCCCTGCCCTGGGTGCTGATCTCAGTGGGTGCCGCAGGGCGTTGCAACTGTGATGTAGTGAATTGAGCAGAATGGAAGGCGAGAGGTTGGGAGGGGGCACCAAATGTTGGCCTTAGCTCTGGGAGGGCGGGGACCTGCAGTCTCCACAACTGCCTTATAGAGGCAAAACCTACCGAGAAGAGTTGCTGTGTCCACTAGGTATGGCTCCCCTGTGCAGGCCTTGTTTCTTCTAATAAAAACTTCACTTACTGCATGTGATTTATTGCTGGCTGGCCCCCTGACAGAAGGGATGAATGACAGTGCTCAAGATAGCAGGCAACTGCTTTCTGCGGTGGACTGATAGACTGGTTTCTTCCTGTGCCGCTTTCCCCCCACCTGGCTCAGGTTCCACTCAGGTGGAGAACATCCAGCCATTCACAACGAAGCAGCTGATCATCTGTAACCTTGCTGACTGTGTTCTGGATCTGCCGCAGCTTGAGATCCTGTATCCTGACAGGCCTAAACACGAGGCTTTCAAGAGAGGTGAGTGAGGGCAGGGGGGACCTTATTTGGTTGCAGCCAGAGGGACCTGGCCTCAGCTTTTTAAGGCCAGTAGAAGGCCCATTATTTCATTTATTTCTTTATTTTACTCATTCATTCATTCATTCATTGCTGCAAAGTATTTGCATCCCAAATTCTAAAACAATTGGAAAACTGTATTCCCTTGTATTTATTAACTTAATGGCCACATTCAAAAGTCACAGCTGAAAACTAGCCTTTCTCCTGCATTCCAGACTTCCAAGTTAATCCTTCCTCCTCAGAATATCCACTCCAGGGGGCATAGCTGTTGTGGTTGCACTAGCTGAGCTCATCAACTTTTTTGAGTCAGGCACTTTTTTAATCTTGATTTCTGTATGTGTGTTTTTGAAGGGCCCCCGTGGTTACCTCTCTTCTCCCCGGCCAACATATCTTCATCAGGGCTGAGGTGGGGTGGGCAGGGGATTGGCTGAGGTTTTTTGTTTCTGTTTTGCTGAACAACTTTCTTCCACTGTCGGTGCACACTCAGGTGTTGGACCTCATGTCCCTGGGGCACGGGAACAGTGGGTGGGTTCTCCTCTCCTCCTGGGACAGGTGAGCCACCCATTGGCAGTTTCCACTTTTTGGCCTTGCTCTTTCTGCCCTTCTTGCCTGGGTCTGACCACTTGAGCACCCGATTTTTAATCCTTCTGTACTTGAGGTAGTGGGATTGTGTGCAGTTTCTCCTCACCTTCTCCTCACCTCATCATGTGGCAACGATCCAGCAGCCTTGCCCTTTTCCCTCTTCCCACCCAGGATGTGCAAGGGGTGAAGAGCTATGTGCCAAATGCACACCTCTTTCCTTCGCCCCAACCTGGACAGTAGCAAGCAGCCCTTTTGTTATATCTAAAACAACAGAGACCTCCTTCCACCGAGGAGAGCAGGCCTTTCATTGGTGGTATCTTTATTCTGCTAGTAGCAGTTGATTGTTTTATCATTATTACTTTGTGAAAGTGCCTCAAATGGGCATTTTTTAATGTTTCCCAAAAACACACAAACAATTAAACCAAGAATTAGAACAAGAATAAAACAAGAGCCCAAAATGTTCATTGGTAATATATAAAAAAGGGCAGAACTCAGCCCACCCCACTAAAAAAAGACAAGCAGAAGAAAAGTCCATTGACCCTGGTTAAGACAGGTTAGGATGTTTTATGTCCTCCCCCCCCCCCCAATTTTATGTAATTTTACTCAATATGGTTATTTCCTGTTTTCATGTCTCTTCATTCTTGCTGTTTGTACATGTAAATTTAAATAACTAATTTATTTATTTTTTGCTAAAAAAGGAAGAGGCTAAGAACATACCCATGTACCATTCAAGTTATGGGTCAAAAGCCTGAGTTATCTTGGGATGTTGGGCAGAAGTCCAGCGGCATTTGGAGAGTCACAGGTTCCCCATCCCTCCTGTAGAGGGATGTAAAAACCGCTGCAAATCTCATCTTATAGAAAAACGGGGGGGGGGGGATGATACCTATTTGTGTGTTGAGAGGAATGAACACTGAGTGTGTCTCCTCCCACAGTGGACCCACCAAAGAAGAATAAAGAGTACCAGCCAGCAAAGATGAAGATGACCGTGGATGTGTAAGTGGCTGGATTTTTACACTTCTGGTGAAAACTGCCCTGCTTCTTCTCATGAGGCTTTCTTGTCTTGGATTGCAGTGTATATGTGTTGGAGATATTCCTAAATAGGTGAAAGGGCCCAGGGCACAAATTTGCAAAAAAGTATTAATATGTTGATTTATATGTATAGATGCAGCTGGGAAACTAAAGATAGTAGGTGGCAAGCAATATGCTCAGTACGGATGGGGAGAAATTTGATTCAGTTTATGTTGCAAAACAAAATGGCCTAATTTGCACTTTTTGAAACAGAGAGAACCAGAGCACAGCCATCCTTCAAAATTTGCATTTTTCTGAATGTTGCAATGCAATTGTAATGTTTACAAAAGTGCATATACTGAGATAAAGTGTTCATGAAAATGCATATACAGTGGTACCTCGGGTTACATACGCTTCAGGTTACATACGCTTCAGGTTACAGACTCCGCTAACCCATAAATAGTGCTTCAGTTTAAGAACTTTGCTTCAGGTTGAGAACAGAAATCATGCGGTGACAGCGGGAGGCCCCATTAGCTAAAGTGGTGCTTTAGGTTAAGAACAGTTTCAGGTTAAGAACAGACCTCCAGAATGAAATAAATACTTAACCCGAGGTACCACTGTATTAGTGAAAATAACATTCACAAATGAATTATATTGTTGGAAATTGCGCTGCAAAAATGTTTGTATTAGACAGAATTGCATACAAACGTGTAAGAGAAATCAACACTAAAAGGCTGCTGAATTTCCATGAAGACTAAAGAAAAGCAGACTGATGGTGGAAATCTGGAAAAGTGTAATTAATACTGGAAAAATAAGAAACAGAACCAAAAAAGTACGAATTCTCCCATCCCTTGTGCCCAGCCCCTCTGCTTACAGGGGGAAAGTGGGAACAGGAGGTCTAGGCCTCACTGCAAGAGACTTGGGACTCCATCCCCTGGGCCACCACCTAAGAGCACCTTAATGAGAGCAACAGCTACTGTATTGACTAGAAGTTTATTGTTCTTGGTGGTTCATCACTGTTGTCATCACTGTGGTTCATCACTTTACAGCATAAGCTGTAGTCTAAATTAATTCATGGAGAAGAGAAATGAGGGAGCCCAGAGCAACCTCCACAGTTGGTCTCTGGCTTCTCTTGTATTTCTTTTGAGCATTTTGGTACTATATTTAGATGTTAAAAACAAGGCAATGGGCAGATAACTGTGGTCAGATAGTAAAACCCTGATTTTGTCTCCAAACTGCCATCCTAATATGCAGCTTTGATTTGTATCCTAAAGGGCGGGAAATAAATAAATGTTATTTAAATAACATTAAATAAATAAGCAAGCAAATAAATGTATGTTGATACCAAAACTATGTTGAATTCCAGACCTTGCTCATTCGCTGGTTCATTGAGTCACACCCCAGGCGGCTCCACAAGCAACCTTAGCATGAATCCTGGAATCCCATCTGGCCCTGCTTATGAGTAAGTCCTCTGCTATGAATCCTGCCATTTTCGTGCAGTAGCTGTGCATGTGAAACAGCACTAATCTCTCAATAACTTTCCATCATCTTTTAGGAGTGGGGAGGACCTGCGTGCACCTCACTCCAACCATACACTTGATGCACATTTAAAGCACATGACTCCCACCCACACACACAAAAAAATCATTGGAACTGTAGTTTGTTCAGGGCACTGGGAATTGTAGCTCTGGGGGGGACTATAGTTGCCAGGATTTTAAGCCGTTGGCTAAGTTGGCTGGGGACGGTGGGAGTTGGAGACCAACAACATCTGGGGATCTGAGGTTGTAGAGCAACTGTCCTGGGTGACCTTGGGTCAGTCAGCCTCTCTCTGCCTAATCTACCTGACAGGGTGGTGAGAGCAAAAGCACCACCACTGATACTGTCCCAGATTTCTGGAGGAAGGGACAGATAAACATGCAATGAATAAATAAATTAATAAGGGTGGGATTTCTTTTTTTAATTACCCTCGCAGTCCCTTACAACTCTGTGATTCTATGACCCCAGCTCTGCATGTTCATTCCAGAGTTTGGGATAGGATAGGATCTCCAATTTGCTATTCCTTTGGGATATGTTTACCATATCCTTGCTCTGTCTTTCCACAGTCCTCATCTGATGATTGCGCAACCTATGGGCATGTCTTCCTCTATCAGTACAACATATGGAAGTCCGAACTTGCTGCCGTAAGAATCATGCCCTGATTGCAGACGTCTTTGCCTTGTGTGTGTGAATGAGTGTCAGATTGAATGTTACAAATGAGCCCCACTAGGGGGCAAACACACCAAAACCCTGTTCTCTTCCCACCTGGCAAAACCTAGAGATCCAGGGTAGTGTGTCTGTAGTGTATTTGCACTGGTCCTTTGTCATGTTGCAGCTCATGTGGCCACTCAAACTGCAGCATGATGACAGGACAGCAGGCTCACAGCCCAGGCAGGCAGATGAGCCCAGGAAGCTGCAGAGGAACAGGACAGGCTCAGGCAGCTGTTGGAACTTCTGCTCTGCTGCTGCTACACACTTCACACCATTGCTGGTGTTTGGCCTCAGCAGTGTCAAGAGGTTGAGGAGGAGGAGAGCAGCAGCAGCAGAGCAGGATGGTTGCTAAAGGAGCTGACCTGTCTTGTCCTTCCTGTTCCTCTTTGGCTTGTCTAGGCTGCAGTTTCACTGAGCTTTTTAGGGGAGGGGGTGTTGTTTGACGAAGCAGGCAGGTGTCTGAGGCCAGCAAGGGAGCAAGGAGGAGGTAACTGGAGGCAAATGGAAGCAGGTGGGCACAATACAACATAGGAGCCCAGATCACTGCAGGGTGAGCTTGGCAAGCCTTCCCACAGTGCCACTGCTAGAGAGGAGGGCAATGAAGAGGACAGTTTGGGTGAGCAGAAACGAATGGGAGGAGGTTTGGGGATGAGCTGAAAAGGATGTGGGGTTGGGGGGTGTAATAATTATAGGGGTTGCTCGTGCGTAAGTTCCCGCCACTCCTGGCTAGGTTGCCTGGTTAAACCTTTTCTGTCTGGACAGCCCTTCACTTCGTGGCTGTTTCAGTCGCTAGCAGAATCCGTCAGTGGGCGTTTCTTAAACCTTTTCCAGCATAAAAGCTGTTTGACGCCAAGTCTCCTCCTACTCTCCCTGCGCGGAAGTCTTCTGCGCAGGGAGGGTGTGGGTAGCGGAGGACCTGTGCTCTCCCCGCTGTTCTCCGGCGGGGAGTCCTGGAGCCCCCTCGCCGATTCCCCCATCTGCCCCCCTTTATCCCTGGTGTTACGCTGATTTCCTTCCCCAGCTGATGAGCTGCCTCTCTCCCTGCTGGGCCCTTCTCCAGCATCGCTTGGGAGCCTTGCCTCCGCCTCTGGCTCCGATGTCAGTTCCCTGACAGGGGGCAAATAAGGGGTGACGTTTTGGGGAGAGCAATCTGCAAGGGGAGGGAGATGCAGGGTTGGTGAGGTCTAAGGTTTAGGTTTTGTGTATGTATATGAAAGCTGCTTGGTAACAGTGCATTCGGACACCTCTGAAGGTATTGTAACCAAATTTTGAATGATGGTCCCTGAGATTAAGTTTTCATCTACAATTGGATGCCATTTTGAATCACAATGGGCTGGACCTTTCAAGCTTACACTGATTTTAACCACTGGTTTCAAAACCATGCTGTGTTTCTTTGTTTTTTAGAATTCCCAAGCAATGCTGACTGCAAGGCTGCTAGTTAATGCATACAATATTAAAGTAAACGAAACAGCACCATGCACAATATTAGCATATGTGGAACCCAGTTTAAATACCTCATCTATTCATCAAGAGACAATTCGACGCATTCAGTGAATGCATTTTGGCTCCTCAGCATAATATAGTGATGTTGGGAACATTTTGTATATTAAATAAATATATTTCTGTGTGCATTTTCCTAGCACTAAGGCTACTTAGAGTTTTGCCCAGTTAAGCTAGTGCTTCTTTTGGTTTTCCAGCAAGAAACACATCAGATCCAACACTGCTTAGAAGGCAAAGGCCCTGAGCATCATTATCAGCCCCACTAGCCAGCCAGCCAGCTTTAGCTTAAGCTATTGCTTTGTGGGAGAGTTAGAACAGGACTTCTAACCCACTAGATGCCTCTCCCAGATGTTGTACTATAGCTTCCGTAATCCCTGACTATTAGCCATGCTGGCTAAGGCTTATGGGGGTTGGAATCTAATTGTGCGCGCACGCATGCGTGCACACACACACACACACACACGTTCTGTTCCTTTCTCCATGCCTCTTTTAAGTTGGACATGTTTCCACTCAGTTCTTCTTTTGCTTCCTATAGTGAATTAATGGGCTGCCCTTACTCCCTGGGAAGTTCTTCACCCCTTGGCTCAGTGGATGCCTACCTCATGCCTCATGATGTGGAAATGCCACTGGACTGCTCGCACAGTGAGAACTCCACATCCTACGTTAGGGATCTTTCATTCCCAGTGCTGCCAAATCTGATAAGGTAAGTGTAGTGAGTCATGGGCAAGGATAAAGGTTGAGGAGGGCAAGGCTCCTTCTCTCCACTGCCTGCAGTTGATAAGCTTTTCCTGTTGTGCTGCCTCCTCCGGTGACCGAGTCTGAGGGCCAAAGAATCCTAGGAATTAGTAGCTTGCAGCACTATCAGTTACTTGCCTTTTCATTGTCCTACAGTTTGCAGCATTTCTTAGCTGGGAGCTTCTGAAAGGTTAAGGAGGTGGAAAAGTAGTTTAAATATATAATGTAGGCATGCTCCAATTTTAGGAGGGTTGTGGGAGGGGGATGGTTGCAAGTGTGTGAGTTGGAAATTCAAGTGTATGGGATAATTCAGCAGGATGTGGGTGGAAGGGAGAGGTGGGAATAGGTCCAAGAGGAGCAGGAGTAGCTTTGATGGGCCTAACTTGGCTGCTGATGCGATTCACAGTAGATGCCGTGCTTAGTCCTGGAACCTAGTGAAGCCAAGTGTCTCTGCAGACAGTGGGGCATGGAGACAGAGCCCGAAGGAGATGCTTTGCCGCTACATCTCTGTGTGGACATGTTTCAAGAGGGCCGCATCCTGCTTTTGCCCACCTTCTCTTTTCCCTCCCTAGGGTGCCTGAGAACATTTCCCCACCTTCCGACGAAGAGCTGGCCCATCTGCTACATCCCGAGTCAGAAATGAATCGCTATCATCAGAATCTGGGGTGATCAGCATCTGTTCATAGCCTTTGTGGGGACTTTTATGGACCGCACAGCAATCAAAGACTGGACATGCTCCCAGAGCAGTGGTGGTTGATGCCCCCTAAATCCTTATGGGGCACAGGAAGCTCCTCCCCTGGCTCCAGGCGTGCCCCCCCTCCCAGGACCCTCCTCTCCTTGCTTTAATCAAGGGCAGCTTTGATTCTGTGCTGGGCCAGATCCGCGAAATGATACGTGCTGTCAAGGGATTCTTGCCAATTATGCCTATCCAGGGAAGTCACATAGGAAGCTGCCTTTCTCCAGGTTAGACCCTTAGTTCGTCTAGCTCAGCATTTCCTACACTGACTGGCAGCAGCTCAGACAAAGGGCTTTCCCAGTCCTACATGGAGATGCCAGTGACTGAACCTGGGACTTTTTGTATCCAAAGCTGGTGCTGTACTGCTGAGCTAGGACTGCACTACTGCCACTGCTTTGGAGCAGGGCTGAGGCTCACGTTTGCTTGCTGCTTGGCACTGTCCTTTGGGGAGGGGCCAATATAGCCCTGGATGCTTTCCTGCTTGCCATGGAAGTGGTTCCTTCTGCAAAACATGGGGTGGATTTCTTTCCCCACCAGCAGCCCAGACAGGAGAGAGAGGGTATTTTTCTCAGGAACTAGAGACTTGGATCCTCCACTGGACTGCTGGAGCTTTCCTCTATCTACTTGGGCAGGTGGGATTACTCCAACGGGCTCTTCTATCCTGGGTTCTGTTTTTCTGCTGCAGAAGACTCCCAGAATTAAAAACCCACAAATGCCACTTCTCCCCATCAGACCTTGGTTGGGTGGGACCAAGATCCACTACCAAGTGCATATTCCAGAACTATCCCATTCCCAAGCAGTGATGGTATGACCTTTGGACTGTGAGAGACCCAGGTGGGGTGAAAATTCCCTGTCCTTTCTCATTCCTGGGGAAGTGTGGGAAAGTGTCTTTTGCTACTCCATGTAATAATGAGATCTCCCCCCCCGCTTTCCCGTTCTGTTCTCTGTTGTTCGGGCTCCACCCACCGGTTTGCCAATGCCCCTTAATCTCCCAGCCTGTGAAGAGGTGCAAATAGATGCTAAAATAAGCCATAAAATAAGACTTTATTTCAAAATAACAAAATAAATAATCTACTGTACACATTACAAAGGAAAGGGTGCTAATTTTCTCTAAAAAGACACCAAGGCTCTATGGGACAAGATGAGGAACCGGAAGCAAGAGCCTGTGGCTGCTAATGTTTGCCTCAACAGGATTTCATGGCCTTCCTTGAATAATCCATGTTTTGCACCTGTATGTCCAAACAAAACCTCACTACAGTACAATTAGCTTAAATCGTCAGCAAAATACAGAGCAGTCACTGTTCTTTTTTCTCCATCCTGACAAGCAGTGGTTATGCCAGGCATGAGGAGCCAGGGATCCTCCAGATGTGGTTGGATTACAACTCCCATCAGCCCCAGCCAGTATGAACAAGGGCCAGGGGTGACAGGAATTACAGCTCAGCAGCGTGTGGAGATCCAGAGGATCCATTTCCCTTGGCAACACCATATTCCCTTGCACTGCAGAAATGGACTGTGTTGCCTTTTCTTCAAGCCACCCCAGACTACAGACTCACTGAAATCCATGAACGTGTCTAAGTTAGGCCCATTAATTTCAGTAGGTCTACTTAAGCAGAACGCCACATGTGATAGATTCCCCACCCCCACCCCAGAACCTTAGGGAGGCGTCCCCCTTCCCTCCTCATTTCCTGTGGCAGCCCTTCCCCTCTGCTCCATTCATATGGAGAAGGGAGATGGGGCTGCATTCAAGAAAGCCCAAAGGAGGGATTAGCTCTGGCTTATCTGACCCACAGCACAAGGCAGGATTGAGGCCGAACAATCTTTCCTTATGGCAGCAGTACAGTTCATGCATTCCTGGCCTCCTTAAAGGTCACTATAATCAATCCTCTGCCCCGGAAGTGGTTGAGCTCTACTAGAAATGTCTCCTATCTCCCATTGAAAGATTCCAAGTGGTACAGTGGTAAACTACTACAGAACTTCCAGAACTAACTGAAAAGTTGTCAGTTCTTGTCAAAGTGGGAACCTCAAATAAATAGGTGGCATTTTCAGTGTATGCACTTGGGGCCTTCTGCCTTTACCTGTTTCTCTATGGCTGCCTTTTGCTAGAATATTATAATTTATTCAATTTCTTACTCGGCCTTTGCCATAAGGTCCCAGGGCGGGTTATACCAATTTAAAAATGCAATTGTGCGCCAGTTTCTTGCCTACATGCAGCTGCTCCAAGATGGAAGATCCACACAGCAACCCAGGGGCATTCAAATCATCACGTTCCCCTTGAAGGTACCAGAGGCAACACTGGTCCTGAGTCGTCCTGTATCGTACAACACCACCTCTTGGTCCTGAGACCACTGGCTTCTCTTCCTTGCAAGGAGCAAAAGCAGTAGATGAGCCCCAAGAGAATGAACTGGTTGCCTCAGGAAAGGAAAGCGGCGGCTGGGAGAAACAAGCTGCTCCCAGGGAAGGAGTGAGCCTGATGCTCCTTCTGGATCCAAACAGAGAGAAGACTCACTTGCATTTCCCCTCCCTTTAGGGGGCCACTGCAGATCACATAAAATTGGGGTGGGCGTGGTAAGCCTTTTTCAAAAATCAATTCTAATTCCTGCAACTACACAATTTTAGTAAAATAAGAAATTAAAAAACAAATCTGCTGCTGGAACAGGATGGAACTGTAAATTTCACCAGCATGCCCCAGGCATGGAAGCAAATACCTCTCAGGATTCCAAAACACGACTGAGCAGTGAATCAGTACCATTGGTGACTATAAACACCAGATTAAGGTCAAGACCAAGGGAGGTAATGATGCTGGAGCTATTTTGAGCATTGTATACGCAATCTACAATTGAAAGTGTGACAACCGATACACAATAATGTAAGGAATATCATGTCTGCCACTTGTCCATATGCAAGGCAGAGTGTGTGTGTGTGTGTGAGAGAGAGAGAGAAGGGCAATGGAGAAAATGTGTTGTATGTACACGTATGGGATGCAAGTGTAAGTCAGTGCGTTATCATAAGAAATTTGGATGCAGAAAGATAATCGATGCTTGTGTCTGAGAAATCGAATCAGCTTTCTGTTCAGGGCACAAAGTGTATTGGTGTGGGGTTTTGTGTTTTTATGGCTATGTGCCCCAGAGTTCCAGGCTTCATGAGGGGCGAAAGGCTGTGGGTGAGGCTGACCTTCCAGTAGCCTTTCGCAGGGCAAAGCCAGCCACAGATTGGGTCTCCCTGAGCTCATGGCTATCGCCTGTAGTGAGGACGGCCCCCAACATCTTACATAGTTAATAGGGAGGGGGAGAGGCAGGTTCTCCATTTTGTGACGAGAACCAGGAGTAATAAAATGTGCTGTGCTAATATGGTAGCCTTGCTCTGTTGAGGAAACCAAGCACGCCTCCTTGTGGTGATGGGGAGAATTGCGCCCCTCTCCCCTGCCAGAGTCTGATGTTCAGAGCTGGTTGGCATGTTATTGCTTGGCGACTGAGCCACAAGTCACCTGCTGCTCATTGCCGGCTGGTATCCGGTTCCACCTTGATGCTGTTTCTTCTAGCTTCGGCCTGTGCTGCTGGGGGCTGGCACCGCTCAGAAAGATTTTCCCCAAACTCTAAAATGAGAAATTGAAAGTCAGACAGAAATATGCAATTTCCTGTCCTTGGCCTCTTTTTCTGTTGTTATTAACTTCAAGCAGCAAGGAGCTCCTGCCACAACTGTGGGCTTCCCTTCAGTTGCACATCCCCACAGGCACAATGTATTTTTTGGGGTGGTTCCAAAGGTTATACTCTTAGCATCTGAGCTCTGAAGCACCATCCCCTCAGTTTTCCCTGCCATTCTCCAGTGACCACAAGGAAAGATCACCACACGGTGATCTTTGCTGTCAAAAATTATTCTGCTCCTGTAAGCTTACTCTTAGGGTGCTTCCAGAGATTCCTGTTCTTAAGCATTCATTGTGATTTGTTTGTGAGGAGGTTATACAACATTGCATCACCCAATCATTACCCTACACTTGGCAGTGCATTTTCTTGTCGCATTCCTTATCACAAAACATCCAACCTTTTGTGCAAGAGGTCCAAATCGGCTTTAGTTGCACAACCTGAATTTGCCAGTATGTGACTGAATACCACCCTAAAACAGCATCAGCCTGGAAGCCCCCTTAATTAATGAAATGAAAAGAATTTGGCAGGCACAAAATCTATGACACGCTGCTTTTATTCCTGCCATCTCCTTGCGACATAGTTATAACCAATATAAGGTAGCATGATGATCTTGAGCTTAATGTGGCTATTGAGATTTTGCTGTGCCCAAAAACGCGTTTTGGATGCCATCAAAGTTAGTCTTGCCAGACATTCATGTATTTTGCATTTTCTTGATTTAATGATGTCTTTCCTGACTAAGCCCAGCTAGGCAGTGTTTGTGAAGGCTCCTTGTCCTTTCTGACTAAGCATTAGGAAAAACTTTCTGGCTGCAAGAGCTGTTTGAAAATGGAACAGTCTCCCTCGGGAGGTGGTGGACTCTCCTTCCAAGTAGGTTTTTTAGCAGAGGCTGAATGGCCACCTGCCATGGATGCTTTAGCTGAGATTCCTGCATTGCAGGGGTTGGACCAGATGACCCTCAGGGTCCCTTCCACCTCTACAATTCTGGTTCTATATGCCCGTTGCTATCCTAGCTGTGGTGCCTACTTATTAGTTTAGCGAAGCTGCTGGGCAAGGCTTCTCTTGCTGCCCGATAAAGTCCTGGGGAGGAAGCCTCTTACCTTGGCTTGGGGGCTTCCCTGGCAGGCAGGGGCTGAGCCGTCCAACCCGCTCGTGCGACACCAGCCGGGCCAGACGCAGCCCTTCATCCATCAAAGTCTGCTGCAGGATATGACGACTCCATAGTCCATGGGGCGGGAGGCTCAGAAGTGTGTCAGGGGCAGCGTTGGGGGGTGGTGTAAGCCGAGGACAGGATCCTGTTGCTGCAGAAAAGGGGGAGGAGGAATCAGTGGGGAGGACGGTGCAAACTTGTGTAAAAATGGATTGAGTCAACAGAATGACCCAATCTACTCCAGAACTTAGAATCTCTTCCAAACTAAAGCTACGCTAGGAACTAGGAGTAACCTAGACAAAGAAAAGCCAAGTCCCCATTGTCTATCCTGCTCTAACATGGTCAAGAAACGGAGCTTAGAATGGGTTCTTAAAGACTGGAATCACCGAGGGAGGCAGATTGAGTAGGGATTCTGTTCTTCCTTTCACACCCTTCCGAAGGACATGCATTCTGCAAGTGAGATACAGAGCAGAACACTGTTCTTCAGCTGGTGGGAGCAGCCTGATCCAAGGTAGGTCGCAACAGGAACGCTAACCACCATGCAAACATACGGAATGGGTCCCCAAATGCATGTTTGGGTTAAAAGTGGGTCCTAAGTCTAAAAAGGTTGAAGATACCTAGAGTAGAAACGGGCAGCACTGTTTCCTGGATCAATTTATGTTTGGTGGGACCAAAAATACAAGGGGAACACACCTTCCAGCTTTTTTCAATCCTGTCAGAAAGAATTCCCTATATAGGGAAGCTTTTAATGTGTATTGTTTTATTATGTTTTTATATATGTTGGAAGCTGTCCAGAGCGGCTGGGGCAACCCAGTCAGATGGATGGGGTACAAATAATAAATATTATAGTACTATTATTATGAAACTCTTGCATGCAATTCAACCAGGGCACATCAATTAAAATCACGGGGGGAGGGGGGAGGGAGTGGACCCAGATGATTTGAATAATTTAAATCATGTTTTCCACTGGCACTTCATGTATTTCCTAAATTATGCATAGTAGTTAGTTGATCTAGTCACATAAAACCTATTAATCTACAACTAAACAGCATCTGCATTATCTAGGAGAAACAACGAAAGGGCACTGTGGTAACATTGGGAAGGGCACAGGACAACCAGCATGGTCCAGAGAACACATTATCCTCTACTCAGAAAACAAACCCATTCACGTAAGCTGGGGATGCAACCAGGCAGGTTCCCTATTATGGTGGGAGCTGCTGAGGAGAACAGGAGCAGCACCCCGAGACTTGCGCGAGGCAGGGGTCAGGAGCACATCACATGCCTTTAAGACCTCTGCGTTCATGGGAACTCGGCTGCTGTTCAGCTCCCTGCCAACATGAGGCCCAACGAACCTGATCCCGTCAATGACGTCAGTTTGGCACCTCAGAATGATGGCACCTGGGGGCACCTCCGTGCTGAGACTTGCAAAGCTTTGCTGTGCTCTTATCAGAATTGCAGGAGGAGTTGCTGGAATGCCAAATCAGAAGTGGCGATTGAAAATTGCAAAACAGGAAGGGGGAACTTGTGGTATTGAAAGATGCTGTCGGACCCCATCTCCCATCAGACGCAGCCAGCTGGGTCTGGAGGTATAATCCAGCACTATGTGGAGGACCAAAGGTTAGAAAGCCTTTGGTCTTAATGTGTCCGTCTTTATTTTCTCTGGCTGCGTCTCTGAACAGGTGAAGCTGCCCTGAGTCAGATCTGCAAAGCCCAGCACTGTCCATTCTAGCATTACCCATCCTCTGGCTCTCCAGATGTTTAGGGCTACAACTCCCATCAGCCTTAGACAACACGACAATGGTTCAGGGTGAAGGAGTCGCAGTCAAAACCGCCAGGTGGGGGGCAAGTACGGGAAGGCTGATCTGCTCTGACAGGCAGTGACTTTCCAGGATCTCAGGCACGAGTCCTGCTACACAAGGTTATTCTAACTCAGCCTTCTCCAGATGCTGCTGGACTCTGACTCCCATCAGCCCCAGTCAGCATTGCCAGAGGCCAGAGATGATGGCAGCTGTGAGCCCAACAACATCTGGAGCAGCAGATTTGAGAAGGCTGACCTGCAAGACAGCTGCCCCTGGGACCTTCTGCAGGGAGAGCAGGCACTCTATCTCTGAGCTATGGGATCCCTTTCTAATCTCTTGGAATCTTCTGAGAGTTGCCAAACAAGTCTTGGCTGCTCTATGTAGAAAGATGGAATATAAAGTGAGTGAATTAAGTCTTAGGGATGTACATGACATGGTTTGCATTTCAGAGAGAAAGTTGTCATAGTTCTGAGAAGGAAACACAGGAGGTTTCTTCAACAGAAATGAAAAGCTGGTTTTAAAGCCAACCTACTGCTGCATATCCCTGTAATAAACGCCCTGGGGCTGCTGGTTTTGTCAGGATACTGAGAATTTTCTGCCCAAAATTCACAGCCCCTCTGGAAAACGGCAGTTAGGACACTGTGATAGCTTTTAGGAAACACAAATATGCCTAAAAGAGTAGGTTTTGATACTCAAGGTTTTTTTTAAAAAAAAATCAAAGCTCAAAATATCAGTATTGTTTGGCGAGGGAAAGGTCTGTGCGCATGAAGAATCTGAGGTGGCAAAATGCAGAAAGCATTCAGGATGAAGTCAAAATCAGACAGAACTTAGTGTTGTTGTGCAAAGTCTGTGAGCCACAGAATATGATTCCAAATTATGTACAAGTCAACACATGTTTCAAGTTTAGAAAGAGCAAGCAAACAAAGGGCAAAAGAATCAGAGCTCCAACAAAAAGGAAGGGCATCTGAGCCTGCCTGTAAGTCTAGGGGACTTCTTCTGGCCCCATGGCCAAAGGGCATGAGATCCAGGGGGCCTGTTTATTCAGCATTCATCCCAATTTGCTCACCCAAAGCTTACATGGAGGTTAGATTCTAGATCCAGTTTCTATTGAGCATTTGTTCTGATTTGTTTGTGGGGTTATTATATGGCAATGAACATTCATCCTGCATTCTTCCTGATTTGCTGGCATGGTGTTTTATATGTCCTCCTGTTACGTCATTTGTTCATCCCACATTTTTCAATACATTTACCAGTCACTTTCCAAGCCTCAAAAAAGTCCAAGCCTCAAAAAAGTCATACTTTTAAAAAAAGTGGATTTGTTGCACTAGGAAAACAGACTATTTTTTCTGGATTTCAGCCATTTCTGGACTCTAATCCATCAGACCTCCTGCCCCTGAGCTGTTTCCCTGACAGCTGATCATTATATGAACTACTATTTCGGAATTGGTGCCCGAATTTGCTTTTTTCCTCTTCCCTCTTTGCCCGTTTCTTTACTTGTTGTGGTTTTTAGATAGTAAGTCTGCAGGCAGGTACTACTTTGTTTGAATTAACGGCATGTAATCCACTCTTGGAGCCTTTTTGGCTAAAAAGCAAGGTACGGATGCTCTAAATAAAAATAATAAAAAACAAAACAGTGCAAACCTAAACTTACTTGCACCCGCCCCACAAAACAGTGACAGTCTTGAGGCACCCTAATTTACTTCTCCATGCAGTTGGAACATTTAATTGGAGCTCAGTCCACTCACCCTGTGGGTGTCCATCTAAGCTTTCCCCTGACAAGCTGGCTGTGTCTTCCTCTACGCTGGACCGGTACTGAGGAAGGAAGGGTTCGCAGACCAAGGGAAGTTCAGGACGGCTGTGCTCAGCAACCTGCTGGAAGGACAAGGGAGGCAGGCATTAAAGCTGGGCGTATAGTCCTTTGGCAAAAGACTTTGCCTCCACCGTAAACACATCCCCCACTAGGTTTGTCAGATTCAATGCTGGAGACCATTCACTCAAAAGTGACTTGAAATGCATGCAACTGTTCAATGTGCACTTTATTTTATCTGCAAATGTCAGCTATACCCCATGCTCAAGCAGAAATGGGACTGTCTGGGGAAGGGAATTAATGCTCAACCAAAAGTTGACACAATGGAATCGTCCCACGTGAGACTAATGGCTTCACGGGAAGAGATGGATGCATGGAAAGGGTTAACCGCCCCCCACACTGCAGCTGCTATTGAAAGATAAAAATGCACATTAGACCCCTGTACATATTTAATGACCCATTTAGTTTGGCCCCTAATCTCCTGATGTTGCAAGAGATACGGCAGTCACAGCGTCTCCACTGTCTCCTGTGTGTCCCCCAGAGCCCTGAATCAGATTGGGGAAGAGGTGTTGGAAGGCAGGCCCAGGATGGGACAGGGCAGGAGAGGCCAACTGGGGAGGTTTAAAGGCGGGTGGATGCTCTCTAGCTTTGAACCTTGCCAGGGAAAAGTCAGTTAGAGCCAGGAAGCTTATTTCGGCAGAGGCTCCAGCTTTAATTGAATTGTCACTATGACCAGTACTTTTTGCATTTAATTATCCTCTAATCCCACTGCTTATGATTCCACCCCCACATGTATACCTGCAGCTGCAGCTTATGTTACAACTGAGGATAATATTTCAGAGATCTGATGAAATGAACTCTAAGCTACTACTACTACCACTACTACTAATTTACTTACTTACTTACTTACATGTCTCCCATCTGACTGGGTTGCCCAAACCACTCTGGGCAGCTCCCAAGAAAAAATTGTAAAAGTACAATACAACATCACACACTAAAAACTAAAAACTTCCCTAAAGACGCCTTCAGGTGTCTTTTTAAAATCACAGAACTGTTTATCTGTTTGACATCTGCTGGGAGGGCGTTCCACAGGGAGGGTGCCACCACCGAGAAGGCCCTCTGCCTGGTTCCCTGTAACTTGGCTTCTTGCAGTGAGCAGAAGACCCTCAGAGGAGGACCTCAGTGTCCAGGCTGAGCAATGGGGGTGGAGACACTCCTTCAGGTATTCATGGCCGAGGCTGTTTAGGGCTTTAAAGGCCAGCACCAACATTTTGAATTGTGCTCGGAAACATATTGTGAGTCAGTGAAGATCCTTTAGGGCTGGTTTTATATGGTCTCGGCGGCCACTCCCAGTTACCAGTCTAGCTGCCATATTCTGTATTAGTTATAGTTTCTGAGTCACCTTCAAAGGTAGCCCCACACAGAGCACATTGCAGTAGTCCATGCGGGAGATAACTAGAGCATGCACCACTGGCGAGACAGTCTGCGGGCAGGTAGAGTCTCAGCCTGCGTACCAGATGGAGCTGATAGAGAGCTGCCCTGGACACAGAATTAACCTGTGCCTCTATGGACAGCTGGGAGTCCAAAATGACTCACATTTTTGTAGTGCAGGAAGGGGGCTAGGCTGAGCTGGCTGAGCGCCATTTTGGGCAGCGCCTCTCCGGAGCCAGCCAGCCCTTTCGGGCCGCTCGTCCCTCCACCGCTCACAAGGGCAGGCACAGGAGCCGCGGTTGGGAGAGCGCAGTGCCGATGGCAGCAGCATAGGTAAGCAGGGGGAGGGGAGGGGCTGGGGGAGAGAAGCTCCCTTTGATGCATGTGCGCCTGCACGCGAGGTCCAACCCGCCACAAGGTCTGGGGGACGATGAACCGGCCTCCTCCAAAAAAAGTTTGCTGACCCCTGATCTAGCTGAGCACTGTCTCTGCTCTGACTGGCAAGAGACCTCCATGCTGGCGATTCAGCTGGGGATCTCCTGCATGCAAAGTGAGTGCTTTCCCCTGGTCCATCGTACCATATACTTGCCAGTTTCTATGTGTGTGAACACGTGAATCACCACCGCCATTTATGTAGCAGTTTCTCTGGGGATCCACAGGGCTTCCCATTCATTATCTTTGCAATCTCATGCAGGCGCAACTGGGCTGGCTCTGCAGCTTACCTCCTGCTTGAAGCGCTTGGCTTGCCCAGAACCGCTCTCATCCGGATGCAGCCTGAGGACAAAAGACACAATGGAGTCAGAACACTCTGCTAGGTAACGGGCCAGGATTTCGTCCCTGGCCTGGGCACTGAAGAAGTCAAAAAGGTATCAAGAATGATTTAAACATACTGCCAGGTAGTGAGGAACTCAGCCATATAACGTTGCATGCCTTCCTACATTTAAACTGAGCCCCTCACCTTAACATGCCAGTTTAGCGCATACAGGATTCTGCAGCCTGGGACGCTGCAGGCATATTAATGTTGCAGGCACAGCAGCTGAGGGCCTGTTTAAGTGAGACGCTGGGCACCTACAATATCACACAGATAAACTCTTTTTGCCCATTAACTGCCACATTGATTCCACTGTAATGGGAAACCACGAGAACGTGTTGCGGTGGGTGTTAGATTTGTGCCCTCCCCTTTCCCTTTTGAACTAATCTCAGTTCTCTGTTACATTGGGAATCTGTGATCTGTAGTTTGATGCTCTGGTTTGATAACTTGCCACAATTAGAACAAACCACGGGTCCTCAAGTTTGGACATAACTGCGAACTGTGGTTAGTTCAAAAGTGAACGCTGAAGCTTTTGATATCTTTGCACATGCACAGAAGGAGGAGAGGGGTGTGGAGGGAGTGCTTGCAAACCAGAGGCTCATGCAAGGCCCTGACCTTCAGTGCCAAACAATGGATTCCTCTTACATTTGAACCAGGCCATTCCATGAGTGAGAGCAGCAGCAAGGGCCATAAGCAGAAAGGGTGGCAGAATGTGCATGTGCTGCACAGTCACAGCTGGGTCAGCTCCAGTTGCCAAAGAGTGCCAAGCCCATTTACTGGGTGCCCAAACTACTATTTGGAGCAGTGGGGAAGCAGCTCTTCATTTTTAAAGTTTCTGCCCTTCATCCAAACAGGTCCCGAGGCAGTATATAATACTAACAACAACAACAAAATACAACTGAAGCAAAGCATAATCCACCATAAAACAAACTAACAGGCAAAAAGCAGATAAAATACAAATATAGACCTTGTAAAATATCTGGGCAGTAGCAGCCAGTGTGGAGGCACGGGGGGGGGGGGGGGGCTCTGTTGCTCTCATGGCTTCCCAATACTCAGTCACTACCACCTGCCAAGAGGGGGACGGGTTAAGGTTTCGGGAAGCTGGGAGAGCATTGGAGGCCCACCTGCGCCACCCACTAGGCACTGCTCTATCTGGGCAAACAAGGAAGTCTTAATCTGGCACTGAAAATATTCTAATGTTGACATCACTAGTCAGGGTATTTCAAAATTGGGGTGTCACTGCAGAAAAGGCCCTGCCAGGGGGTGAGATAAACAGGCCAGGTGGACATCCCTCGGCAGAACTCACTTTGTCCCAGGACCCAGCAAAGCTCAGTCCAGGTCTCTGTGATGTTGGGGCACAAAAATATCAGGAAAAATAATAATTAGAAACATTCTTCTGTCACTGAGCAATGGCAAAGCATCCTCACCTATCAGGAATTAGGGGACAGGGCTTCTAGATCAGAAATCTGTGTTTCCAGATAAACAAGAGTTTTGGTTGTATTTACTTTTAACTAAAGTAGGCACTGACGCCTCCCTTCTTGCCAATCTGGAAGGACAGCTGGGGAGGGTTCAAATAGAAGCAAAGGCTCTCCACCCTACCAGGCAGAGAATCTTTAGGCTGCTTGCTGAACCATCTCCCCACCCCGCCTCACAGCAGAGGTGCCAGCTTGCGAGGGCAATGGGGGGGGCAACGTCACTTCAGTGGCTGCGGCTCCTGATCCGTCTCCTCTTGGCGCTGCCACCAGCAGAAGGCTGCTTCACAGCAGGAGGATGAGGAGGAAGAGCCAGCCACGAGCTGCGCTGTGCACTGCTCTGCGGTTCGCCTCTGCTTTCTGGGATGGGGGGAGGAGAAGGGCTCAGTCCCCAGGAGCTGGCGCCCCTGACCCACAGTAGCATTACAGCAGGAGGCCGCAGCCTCACTTTCAGGTAACCCCCCCCCCAGGCTCTACCACTAGCAAGAACGAGAGGGTTTGGTTCTCACCTGGATCCCTTAAGTGAGGACAGGTAGCTGCTCTCCCGGGCCACCTGGCGTGACAGTGAGAAGAGTTCCACCCTTCGCAGCAGCAGGGAATTGTCCCGCAGGCAGAACTGGGCGGCAGCCTCGTTGATGGTGAGCTGGGAGGATGGAGAGGGCAGAGTGAGTCTCTGGGGAAGCGATGAGGATACTGAGTCCACAGGGCTCTTGCGGTACAGCAAGGGGAGGCAACGTTGGACGATGCTGGACTCCAGCTCCCATAGACCCTACCCAGCCTGGCCCATGAGCACAGAGGGTGGGACCTGGAGTACAAAAACACCTACAGAGCACCATGTTGTCTACCCCTGTGGTTCTTGGGGAACTCATGAGCAAAGAGCAGCCAATCACTGGCATCTGGAGAGCAGCGCATGGCTTACCACTGGGCAACGTTGGTGAGGAGTGCCAGGCACACACCCCACACAATCGCTTGCCAGTTTGAGGTCTCTTTTAAAGGAAAGCTCCCCATTGTAACAATGCTGTGGGGAAGACTGGAGGGGCGCTTGAGGGGTGAAGGGGGCAGACAAAGAACAACAGCAAGTCTAACTCCCCTCTTCTGTAACAATCCAGAATCAATATTTTATTACCAGTTTCTTGGATAAAAAATGCCTGTGATATACAGATCACCAGGCAGAACTCTGTTCATGCAATATTCCCAGTGGGTGGAAAGGTGAAGGAAGCAATTTCAGCCCCCTGAAAGCCTACCCTGAAAGCTGCAGGGGACTGGGAGAAATTCCTTCCCACAACCCTTCCACCACTGGCAGTGTCTGCCGGATCAAAGCTCCTTTCGTTCAGGGAAAAGGAAGCCTGGCTCTAAGCTAATTTAGCTCCCTTTAGAGTTGGAGCGCCCAAACCCCATTTTAAAAACAAAACAATATGAACTAGCAGACATGCACTCCCCTTGCCATAAAGTGTTATGCCCCAAGTGCACTGCATGGGGCTGCTCCACTGCAAACTCTGGATCTGAGCCAGCTCTGCTTGGGCCTAGAGGAGTCCCCTGATGGTGAGCAATCCTGCCTCCCCAGCCAGCCTCCGTGGCTCACCTCATGAAGCGTGAGCTGCTTGCCCTCGCATCGCCGGGTCTCGCCTCGTCCGTAGATGGCGCTGTGGCGCCGTATCTCTTCCTCTTTGCGAGGGTCCCCGCTGTCCATCCGGAAGATGTGCCCCACTGCTTTGGCCAGTTTCTTGTTCAGCTTCATGAGGGTCCTCAGCTCGGTCTCGCCGCCACGGGGGCAGCTGCGCAGCAGTCGGTCCACACCCTCCGACACCGCCTGGGCCAGCTCTGGATCCAGGTGCTCTGCGGATGAGGGGTGCTCGCTGGGCGAGGAGGCCCCCCCTTCCTCTTCCGATTCTGGATTGCCCCACTGAATTGCCGGCAAGGGGGACAGCTTCTCTCTTGGATCCGAGGGGCTCTTGGCGGGGGAGGTAGCGCTGGCTTTGCTGAGGGTCTCTCCGGGGCTGGTGTGCCCGTTGGTCAGGGACTTGCGGCCCCCAGACTCAGAGATCTTGAACAGAGGGATGCTGCTCACAGGTATGGAAGGCACCGGCTGGTTGAAGAGCCCTGGGTTGGTGGCCCACTCCCGCAAGGCCTTCTGCAGGCGCCGGACATGGAGCGGCTTGGTTGCCATGCCAACCAGGGCCATGATCTCCAGGAACTCCTCCTCGCCTGCCTCACACAGCTGCTGCACATCGTCGCCGCCCTGCTGGATGAAGGTCTCATAGTAGGAGAGGAGGTTGGCTCTCTGCAGAACACGATACAGCTGGAGTTCGCCCAGGGTACGAGGCAGGGACAGGGCCATAGCCAGAGGCCTGCAGCAGGGACAGAGCGCGCGGTCAGCCGGCAGAAAGGGTGGGCGAAACGGAGAGATGAAGTCTCACCCTCTTGTCTCGCCCCCATGGTCCAGGCATGGGACTGGTGGACAAATGGAGAGCACGTGCTGAGGCTTATTAGCCACAACCAAGTTTGGAATGATAGAATCATAAAACTGTAGAATTGGAAGGGACCCAGAGGGTCATCTAGTCCAACCCCTTTGGACTGCAGAAATCTTTTGCCCAACCTGGGGCTCAAACCTACGACCCTGAGAGGGTCTAATGCTCTACCAACATGGATAATTTAACCTGTACCCACAATCCGTTTGGTTCGAGGCCTGATTCGCCCCTAAAAGGGGGGTGCTTGTTTTCTGCAAGTGAATGGTTATGTACTCTGCTAACACAGAGGCAGCTGCGGCTTTTCCCTTGATTAGACTGTCCCCATGTAAGCTATTAATTCACACTGAAGTCTCTCCATGTGGTTAACATACCACAGAAGACGATTGTGCAGAGGAAACAAGCACCACTTATCTGTGTGAACTGGTCCTAAGCAAGGAACTTGCACAGAGGAGGGGGACCGAGATGATCAAAGGCCTGGAAACCAAGCCTGATGAGGAACGGTTGAGGGAGTTGGGTATGCTTAGCCCGGATAAGAGGAGACTGAGAGGAGATAGGAAAGCCATCTTCAGATATCTTAAGGGTTGTCGCATGGAAGAGGGAGCAAGCTTGTTTTCTCTTTCTCTGGAGGGTAGGACCCGAACCAATGGATTCAAGTTTCAAGAAAGGAGATTCCAACTAAACATCAGGAAGAAATTTGTGATGCTAAGTGCTGTTAGCAGACTCCCTCAGGAGATGGTGGACTCTCCATCCTTGGAGGTTTTAAAGAAGAGGTCGCTGGGTATTTGTCAGGGATACTTTAGCTGAGATTCCTGCATCGCAGAGGATTGGACTGGATGACCCTCGGGATCCCTTCGAACTCTACAATTCTGTGATTCTATAAAGGGGGTGGAAGAGACCCCCCCTCCCACCCACTCCAGAGGTTTACCTCCCACCTCCTTGCCACCCTGTAAAACATTGTGACTGTGATTCGGATCATCATTAGTGATTGTGAGCCCGAGGCCAGAGGGTGGCATTTTCTCTGGATGAATTCGCCTGGAATAAGTGAGTGTCATCTTGCGTACCCGCATCCTACACAACAACCTCCAACCGTAACACACAGCCATCTTCCCATCAAAGCAAAGAGCTCGCCCCCCACGTCACTTTTTCCTCTGTCATTGAACCTATTCAGTGAGATCTACACGAAATGCACGCTGAAACTGGGGAAGTGTCGCAGCTCACTGGTAGAGCAACAGCTGGGTGTGCAGAATGTCCCAGGTTCAATTCCTGGCATCTCCAGGTGGGGCTGGGCACACCCCCTGCCTAAAACTCCAAAGAACCACGACTAGTCCATGTAGACAGTCCTAAGCTTGAGGGCCAGACAGGCTTGAGGGCACACACCTCAGGGAGCAGGTGCTGGTGAGCGGGGAGTTGCAGCTGAAACACTGGGTGGCAATGCTAGGTGTGCCATGCGGCCTGCCCTGTGCCTCTTACACTAGCCTGTTGCCCTCAGGAGCGGTGAAGAATGCTGTCCCATTGCACAGTGTGGAACACGTGAGCCATCTATGCGGGGCCATGGGAGCCAGGCCCCCCCCCCTTTTCAATTAAGGGGCCACCCTCCAAGCTCATGCATGCACAGCATGGTGGTGTCACGCGGCCGCAGCCCCCTCAGTCGTGGGGCAAAGCCTGGTGTGGAAGGAAGGCTCAGCTATGAGCCTGTTCAAAATTGGCATGGAATGGGAAATGGGAGGTGAGGGTGTTGCAGGCAGCAAAGTGCATCTACTTTACCCCTTTACACACTTTGCACTCAGACCATGGCATGCAGGGAGAGTCCTCTGTCCCTGCCCTGAATTACTCAAAAGGAAGGTACAAAACGCACCTATAGCTCTCCCCACCCCCACCACTGATGCACTACCAATAGCTGAAATGGGACCTTCTGTCTGCACTAAAGCCAAGGACATTTCAAACAAACTCACATTACTTGGATCTTCTCTGCAAACTAGGAAGAGGCCACACACAAACACATGCTCTTTGTCTCCCCTAAAACACGCCCACCCACACTCCGCAGACACCCACTCCTTGCCCCGTCTTGGTCAAAATGAAAGGCATTGGGGCACTTAGGATAGTTCTGTAAACTACCATTCTCTCCCCCCCCCATATGTGTTTATGTGTGTCTTTTCCCTGGAGCAACGCTACAGGGAAGTGCTGGAATGTGGAAATGTGAGTGATGGGGGGGGGGGGGTGTAAGGGAGCTGGGTAATGAAGCTTGCAGGCAGGGTGGGAGAAGGCACTGCTAGCTCCAAACTTCCTTGCCCTCCTCCCACATCATGCTTCCTGCCAATACTCTTCGGGAAGGAGGATTTCGGACTGGGAGTTTATGGGGACGTTCTGCTGTCTCCAGCTGACCAGGAAGGCTTCCAAGTCCTTTTTGAAGCGCCCAGGAGACACTTTCCCCATCTCCCAAAGACATTTAGCTCCACGATTCGCCCTGCCTGCCCCTCCCCAGATACTCACAGCCCAAACCCTGGTTAGGTGCATTCAGGATGCTACAACAACAACAACCTAAAAATACCCCTGGGCATAATTTGAGATAAGGGATTTGAGGGCGGGGGTGCTGGGGAAGATCCTTTCTGATGGACCCGAAAGGGCAATACTTAGCCCGCGAACAGGGGCAGAAAAATGACAGGCCGAAGCGTCTCTGAGCGTGTGCAGAATGCACGGAAGAAGCACCGGGCCGCGCATCTCCCACTTGGGAGCCCGAGCGGCTCGTGTCCGGAGGTGCGCCTTCGCGAAAGCCCGGAGTCCCAGCCGCTCTCCTCTCTCCGCCGCGCCCCCGATCCCTTCGATCTACGCCCCCCCCCCCCGGCCTCCTAAGCGGGCAATTCCCGGACTAGATGCGGGAGCGGAGTTCGGGGCAGAGGCGAGAACGGAGGGAGACGACCCTTCCCGCTTACTTTGGCGCGCGCTCCTCGAGGGGCTGCTGGCTTCCTTCGCAGGCGTCCCGGGGGGCGGGCGGGTGGGGCATGGACCCCGGGCCTTCGAGCCTCGCTGGCGGCGGCGGCGGCGCCTTCCTCCTCTTCTGGGCGAGAGGCGAGTGCGCGCCGGGCGTCGGATGGCGCCTGTCCGCCGTCCCTGGCCGCGCCTCGGCCCCTTCCCCCTTCTTCTCCTTCCTCCTCCTCCGCCTCCTCCTCCTGCTCGCCTCGGCGCGGGGCCTCGGGCGCGGAATCGCCTCCCACGCCGCCGGATTTACAATGGAGCCGCGGCGGCGGCTCGGAGCTGCTGGTGCTGGTGCTGGTGCCGAGGCGCGTGGGAGGCGTCGGGGGCGGCAGGCGGCTCTTGCCTCGGACCAGAGAAGCGGCAGCGGCGAAGGAAAACGCCGCCTCCTCCTCGCGCGCGCGCCCCTCCGCTCTGCCCACGCGCGGGCCGGGCCGGGGCCGAGCGCGCCGGGCTGCTGCTGCCGCTGCTTCGCCGCATGGCTGTCCCCGGCCTCCTCCGCGCGCCTCCCGAGGCCAGGCTTAGGATCCGGCGGCGCCGAGGCAGCTTCGCCCCGGCTCCCTTTTCTGGGCGTTGTGCGTTACGCCCCGCCTGGGAGAAATTCGGAGTACCTGGCAAAGAGAAAGCGAGAAGTGCCTGGTCGGGGTTTCGTGGGTGGATGTGCGTGCTCAGTATCCCGCACCCGCCCGCCCCTCGTGCCAGGCGTGCACGGCTTTGCGTTTGCGTGAGTGCCTGGGTTTCACGTGTGCGATGTTGTGTTTGGAAGTGCAAGTGACGCGCATGGTCCCGCATGTAAGTGCTGGTGAGGTGGGCGTGCTGCCCGCTATTGTGTGAACTGGACGTCCGCGGGTGAAGTGTGCCTGTGACCGTGTAAACATGGGGAACAAGCTTCCAAGGTTAACTGAAGGGTGCTGAGGCGGGGGAGGGGGAGTTTAGAGGCGTATTATAAAATTATTCTTTGTCAAAATCCTGCTGGATGATTTTACAAATATTTTAGTGGCCAGAGCCAGGGTTTGGTAACTGAAATGGGAATAGCGTTGAGATACATGCTCCTCTAGTTTAAAAATGCCTCCCCGTGGTGGTGTCATTGTAGTTGAATACATGGGCAAGGGAGGGCATCTGCCCCCCCCATCCAGTAAAACAATAGAAATACTTAAGTAACTGACCAATCACGTCGTTTCTGCCCCCTAACAAAGTCCTGCCCCCCCCCACTATGCCCATAGTTGAATATATTCAAATTTCCACTCTCCTGGAAACAAGCTTAATGGATTATTCTTTCATTCCAATTTTTTTGGATTGCCTTTTTAAAAGCAAAATTCAATGCCTTAAAAGTTTTTATTATTTTTAAAATGACCTGATCGTGACCAAAGAATTACACTGGGAGAGTGGGGATGACTCCACTGAAAATTTGCAGTGGAGACTTTGATACCAGAATCTGATAAATAATATCTAGTTATTATTAGACATTGGATAGCTAGCCCATTAGGAATAGGCTTTTTGTCCATCTAGCACAGTGTTATCTAATCTGACTGGCAACAGCTCTTTAAGAGTCTTTGACTGAAGCCTTTCATTTTACCTGGAGATTCCATGGATTGACAGATGACTAGCGTCAGAGTCTTGTAAAGATGTACACTTCAAAATTCATATTTTGCCCCATAGAATAGCACAAATGCATTCTCCACTTGCAAGGTGCAGAATTTCAGCAATCACTCTGGTGAGTTTTCTTTCTGAGCCATTCTGAAACTTGCTACTCAGCTTGTAGCAAATCCAATCCAATAGAAAAGGTACCTGAATTGTTTTTGATCTTGTACACTTGGACCTATTTAGGGCTTCATTTCACAGGGCAAAGTGAAAATACTAAATTAAATACTAAATGAAAATTAAATGAGCAAAGCAAGCATCTTCACTACAGGTAAGGAGAGTTTCTGCTATTCCAGACTTGAAAACCCAAGGGGAACTGCTGGAGGTTCGTGGCCTAGGATGGAGGGGCTGTAGTAAAAGTGGCTATAATGTTGACACTTTGACTACTCACACTTATGAGTAGTCAATGTATTGGGTTCAGTAAATAGAGGAAATGTCCATAGAACATAGAGGGATGGGTTGTATATCCACATGCGTTTAGTGCATAAATGCCACTTTAATAGGCCCCCATTCCTGCAGACTGCATCTTTACACTGCAGATGTACTCACACCAAAAAGAGGAACGCTGTACCTAAAGTGTAGCCATATGTGGGTGGGATTGGCCAGTTGCCAAATCCTGCCCTTTCACTTCAACATCTCAGCCTGTTCCACATGGCATGAAAAGAATGTGCATTTGTGTAAATATAGCTCAGTTGAATTGGGTGAGCATGTACAGTACAGAGGTTTTGGGGGAGAACTTGGCAATAGAGATGACCCCGAGAATCAAAAGGAGAGAAACAACTTGAAGACCCAAAAGTTGCATCTAAAGGATGATCAGAATAAAATACCCCACCAACAGTATTATAGGAACATAGGAAGCTGTCTTCTGCGCAATATGTTTGTTGGTCCATCTAACTCAGCAAGTTGACTAGCAGTGGCTCTCCAGGATTTTAGACAGGGGTCTCTCCCAGCCTTACCTGGGGCTTAACTGAGGACCTCCTGCATGCCAGGCCAATGCTGTGCCACCCCTCCCCTATTCTGCCACCCCAGCTATAAGCTCCCTCGTGCTTTGGCCTCTCAGCTCTGACTCCCACCTCCCTCCAAAGCTAAATATATATTTTCCTCATGCAGCTGGGAATTGATTGTGGGTTTATTTTTGCATCTTCTTTGCAGCACAGGAAATGTCCACTGTGGGTTTTGTAGCAACGGAAGTTCAGCAACTTTTTGTGCCACCCTTTCACTGCATTCTGGGGGCCCCTCCCCTTCTGCCTTCCTTCAGCAGTGTCCAGGCCCAGAGAAACCTCCCAGCTTCTAAGCAAGAGAGGCCCCGGGAAGTCAGAGCTATTCCCTGCAGGCAAAGGAAGGCGTAGGCAGGGAGCTGCCTCTGTGGAGGCCGGATCCTCCTGACCAGCTTTAGCTGCTGAGAAAAGGTTTCTATTCAGAGAGGCCTGAGCAGTAACATATGGTTCCTACTGTGCAACCTCCCACGGGCATGGTGACAGCATCTACCCAGGTGGGGGCAGATTCAAAGTGCTAATGCTCCTCAAGCTGGCCCACAAGCTATCCCATCCTTGAGTCCCACAACCTCTGCAGGGGCTCTGAATCCCCATCTGCCACCAGGGCTGAACTAACACCAGCTTCATTTCTTTAACCAGTTGTGAATAATGCTACAGAGCTAGGCTGCAGGTCAGAACTGCAAGCCGTATTCATACAAGCAGGTGTTTGGGGGGGAAACAGGATTTGGGTTGCAATTCTATGCACACGTCCCTAGGACAGTGGAGGACCTGCATTTGCGTTAGCATACCAATATGAGTTCAGGGGGTTCCAGACTCCCCTAAATTCCTGGGCCCAGTAAGATTTAGAATTTAATGCTTGTTATTAAACTGAGTGCTGGACAATGAATTCCGGGATTCAGTTTGCAGTAAAATATGAGCCACACCAGTTTCCTCATGAGGTAATCACCTGGGAGATGAGCCATTAACCAAGAACTAAGGGAAAGTAATGGACCTTTAAGTAAGCCAAGGAGAAGAGACCCTCCTCCAGCTCTGAGTTAGTTAGAAAGACCAAGGTCAGAGTTTGAAGTAGAGTAGTGTTTAGGATTGGGTTTTCAACATTGGCCATGATGGAAGATAGGAGTAGACGGTTTCAGTCTGGTAAAGGCAGCAGTCAGTAAAATGCAGCAAGCTAGAGAGAGGGTCAGAGCCATGGCTGATGTCTGCCTGAATCCAGGGCTGCAGCTGTGGGAGAAGCAGGACCCTCTTGGCGTGTGAATGCTGGGAGCCCCTCCATTGTAGGCTCAGGTTGTATAATATGTGTATTATATAAACCATATGTCGTAAAGACACCATAGACTCTGTTGTGCCTCATTTCCAAAAGGAAACACAGGCCCTGGGTAAATGTGCCTGGAACCCCTGGAATCTTACACTGCTCAGAGACTGGGGTGGTGTGCAACAGTGCCAGTTCAACAACCTAAGTGGCATCATTATGAATCAGTGACTCAGCCAAGTACCAAAGCTTTGCAGCTGGCCGTGTTCTGGATGGAAACAAGACTCTGGAAGGTAGCTGCTTATTTATTTGTAGGTTTATATCCCCCCCCCTTTCCTCCAAGGACCACAAGATGCCATACGTGGTTCTCCCATTCTCCATTTTATACTCACAACAACCCTGTGAAGTAAGTTAGGCTGAGAGAGACCACAGTCTAGATTGGTAAAGAAAAAGCATTTTATATGTGCTGCATATACAATATAACACTGACACCAGTTGGTGCTGTGGAGTCCCATCTTTTCCTATCAGGTTTCCCTGCATGAGCTTACAAGGAGTTTAACTGAATCGCTTCTTTGACATGTCTAGATCCAGCCTGTGAGCTTGAGAGTGGAGTAGGAATTTGAACCCTGGTCTTCCAGGTCCAAGACCACCACTCTGGCAACTGCCCCTCGCTGGCTGTATTTATTCCACGGGGTTTGACTTGCAACTACAGAAGCACTTAAAGGACAGCCTGCTGTTGCCACTGTTTCTGTTTGAAAAGCAGCAGCAGAGAAAGCGCCCTTTAGTGGTGTGGGATGCACTTTGCTGTGGGTGGAATACAGGTTGGGGTTGTAATGACTAGCACCTACCCCCCCCCAAGGCAGGTGTGTGCACGAGCACAGGCAGCCGGAGCACAATAACCCTGGGGGGCCCTCTTTCTTTTTAATATCATTGAGTAAGTAACACTTAGCAGTTGCTGTATTTCTAAAAGTACTGTCCTGAAATAATTTTAGCTCCCCCGTTATTCTTTCTTTCAACTTGTAGATGATCAGCAAACATGGAGGTTGGAAAATGTTGTGGTAAACTGAAGAGTCCCATAATTAAATGAGACGGCAGAAACTCAGCTTTAACTTAAGAGAACATTAAATCGAGGTTCAATGTCTAACTGAGCAAGACAGTGATGGTAAAACGCGTCCTCGTTCGGCTGACACTACAGGGTTGTTGTAAGCTACAATCAGCCTTCCATCGGCCCGACGTTTCTCAGTCTGCGCCTTCCACGCGATAGAGGAGGGCAATCATATTAGGGAGAGGAATTCTCCAATTCCAGTGCAATTAGAAAAACAAGCAACTATAAACTCAGCCACTCGCCATTGGGGGGGGGGTCTGGCTTTCCTATTCTATCGCCTCCGATGGGCCGCTCTCGCCAGCGACAGGTAAGTTGAGGGCTTTTGAAAAGGAAGCCGAGAAATCCTGTAAAGGACCGGCTCCGGCCCTCGCCTCCCTCCCCACCAGCGCTGCGGTCGGACTCGCTTCCACGTGTCGGCCTCCCCCGCGCGGGACTGACGCACATCCTGCCTCCCACGCGGCCAGTGGCGCGCGGCGCGCTTTGCTCGCGGGGCTGGCAGAAAGGAGCGCGCCCACGCGCGGCCTCGCCGCCCCTCCTGGCGCTGCAGGGAAGTTGGCGCGAGAGAGCCCCCCACGCCCACGCTCAGGAAAAGAGCCCCGAGGCGGGGACCGCTCCCCGTACTCTCAAGTGGGGAGCAAGGAAGCAGAC